TTTCGATTGGGAGATTATTATAAAATTTTTGATCCCGCATATATGGGTTTTTTCTCAAACAGTTTTAGACTATGGTGGCCAATTGCAAGGTTTTCCCGATTTCTGGTGAAATAATTATGACTATCCCCAACTCGTTCCAAATCATGAAGTCTGTCCTTTACTGATAAAATTGTTTCAAAAACGTACATTCCGTAAATTGTCATTATATTTTCTGATTTAAAATGTTCTTTAGTAACAGAAGTTCGTGGGAGGGCTTTCGCTTGTTGTAGTGCAGATTTAAATACACTACACTGTCCAGACCCAGCTATATGCTTCAAGTGTTTGTCATTGAGCCCATTTTCTTTGCAAAGGAAACAGGACTCAACTTGGCAGTCCTTACGGATGTGACCGCCCTCCCCGCACCGAAGGCAGTTCTTGCTTCGGTCGGGTCCCTTGCAGTTTCGGGAGGAATGGCCGAAACAGAGGCATTTAAAACACCTCTTTACTTCCACTCTCCCTCTGATCCTGCAGTTGACCCAGCCGACTCTCAGATGCTGGAGTGCCAGCACCTTATTGGCATGTGCCTCTGCCATCTCGGCGACCGCCATCCGCTGCTGACTCCTATTCGATTTTGTGAGCCACACCTTAAGAAAAGCCGTTTGCCCGCCAAGCTCAGGGATAGCTTTCTTCAGGGCTTCAACAACATCAACCTCCGTCGACAAACAATCAATGTCCCGAACCTCGACTGATGTCTTTGGCTCAAGAGCACGGACGGTGCCCTGGCCTTCAATAGCTGCCTTCAGTTCGGCAGTAAAGGCTGCTTTGTCTTTCGACCTACCCAGTTCAAGGAGAACGTCCCCGTCCCGGGTTCGTCTAATCGACCGTACAACTGTATCGGTCTGCTCTTGCTTAGCCTGTGCCTTAATTGCACCCAGGACCTCAGCGAAAGATCTCCCCCCTGAGGGTTTGACCAGGATTGCCTCCGTCCTGGGCTTTTTTGGCCGGAACTTTTTCGGAGCAGAGACCGAGCCGGGCCCAGTTTGGGCCACGCCGGTCGGCTGTGCCTTCACTGCCACATTCTTTATAGAGGCGACCTCCGTCCGCCTCAATTGCCTCTTCTCCTTTCAGGAACGGCGTTTTTCCCATGCAGCCTCAGGTGTCTCCACAACTGATCCCTTTCGGGAACTTCCCTGAGGAGGGGTCGTAGGTAGCTGTGGCTGTTGGTTCTTCACAGAAGCTGCAGCTATGGCCGAAAAGGATCTGGGCACAGCAGGCAATAGGTCCGTCTGAGTCGCCTTGGCCTTTTCCGTGGTCCTTTTGGTCTGGACGCCTTCTTCTCTTTTTTGAGGACTGTTTGACCACTTGGTTTACGGCTCTCTGGGTCCGGAAGGTGTCCAGCATAGCCTTTATCGTAACTTCCATGTCTTGGAGCCGGGTTTCAATGTCACTCTCTGCGTCAAGATATTCCTGACGCAGAAGCACCATCTCAGAGCCTTCCGACCTCGACGTTGCTGTGGAAGGCTCCTCCGGCATTCCAACAGCAGAACTTGCTGGCAACGCCAGCTCGACGCCTGTAACTTCAACGTTTTCCACACCGCCCCCAGCTTCATTTGCCGAAGGAGATCTTAAAGGGGGGAACTCCTTAGTGCATTTGAAAGGTGCAGGTGGCGGAGATGTCCTCACGTTTTTTGGTGGTGGCGATCTCTGAACCTTGGAGCTACGAACAAAAGGGTTCCGCTCCACTTCCAACTTCTTTTCCTGCTCATTTGAGCTCTTGATCGAAAATGTGTTTATGGGGGTATTAAAAGCCATCGTGTTTATTCTGTATATTATTGATTTGAGTAGATAACAATAATAGTTATCAAAAAATAAAGTTAAAAACCATTAACAAGAAATAACAATAAATTAACAAAGAAAAGCGGTGTAGAGTTAACAAAGAAATAAAAGTTTAAAACAAAGATAACAATACTGTATGAAGATAACAATGATAAACTGAAACAATGTAACTGTGTTGTAGACTATGAAAAGACAATAATTTATTTTTGTAAAAAAATACAACCGACTTCAAACGCTCTAAAAAGAATGAAATAATTTCAATAAAGTTAACTTTTGTATTAGGCAAGCTCACGTATTTCAATTCGGCGCGGCTCTATGATGATTTTTGATACAAAATTGAAAGAGGGTGTCCATATTGCAGGTGACTATCTATAACTAAAGGTGTTAATCTGCATGTCTTTTTCATAGTTATGCGTTAAGTGTTATTTTATTACCGTAATCAGAGATCGGCATTATAGTGGTATTAACGAGTATCTTTAAAAAGATTATAACGCATTTAAATGTTTCTAACTTGGAAATGTAACGTTTTAATACTAAACTAGCTTCTTTTCCCTATCATAATATCAAACTAAATTATTTTCCTATTCATATAGAACATTTGTGTGTGTTATTTTCATAATGCATTTATTCTGAAGTAAACATAAAATACAAGAAAATATTTCCTTTAATATATAAACAAAACAGTTCAGTATGTTTTTTATATATTTATGTTATCCAGCTACAATTTATTGATTTTCAAAATACAAACACAATATTTAATTTCAATCATATTTGCAGTTTGAACCGCGCCGACTTGAAATATGTGAGTTTGCCTAATACAAAAGTTAACTTTATTTAAATTATTTCATTCTTTTTAGAGCGTTTGAAGTCGGTTGTATTTTTTTACAAAAATAAATTATTTCATGATTTTTAGTGACTGTATAATTTTTTATGTATTAATTACTTGAGGTTTTTTGATAAGCAAAACTGTTTGAAACAATCAAAAGTTCCACAGAACAATCATTATTTTAAAACTGCTTGAGTCACCTGTTCAGGTTACATAATCAATGGGTATGAAAATAAACATATTTAGATATTAAGAAAGAAAGAGTTGTCCATTACATTAGGCCTAATGAAAAACTAATTGTCTTTTCTAGATACATTGAAATGTCAGACATCATCGTTTCTTTGCAATCGGTGTACTTCTACATTATAAAAAGAAATACAGTAACGTCTCAAGCCTTTTGGAACAAAATAAAGTTATTCCTCAGCTACCAGCACTAAAAAATCTCTCAAAAGTGGAAAATTGGTTGTTAACACCATAGAACCTTTCGTATAGTACCTTTGGAAAATATTATATGAAAGATTGGTTCAGCTAAAAGTGGTGTAAGTCATGTAGGGGGTTTTGTTTGCTCAAGATATAGCCTAGTTGAAATTGCAAATCATCTTCCTCTAGGACTTTCCGAAGCAGGCATAAAATAGTATTGATATGTTATAGTAACTGGGTAGAGAATATCAATAAACATTCCACATCTGCAAATGCATGTTTAGTAATTAAAATATTCAACACTTTTAAGACAATTGACGATTATGCACTGTCACACTTCTTAGGTCGTGTAAGGAATAATTGCATTTGATTTATATTTATACCTGTTTTACGAATGCTGTGGTTTTCACAATACACCTTTATTTGTCATTATCATACAGCTATTCACTGAAAAATGTATGTTTTTGTAAGTCAGAATATTCAATACTAAAAACATAATTACTGTATACACAAATCAGGTAAAACGTTAAAATACATTTTTTATAGTAACCAAAACAAAATGCATTTTTCTCAATGTAATTAATTTAGGCTTCATGGCAAGAAATAGTTTATTGATCAATATGAAGCAACTGTTTCATGAAGAAATTGTCTGTGTCTTTTAAATGGTTTCAACTAACAGCTGTAGGAATGTTATTATTATTTATTGCCTTCTCTGCACAAATGTAAACAGTGTGCACAAATGTAAACAAAATGAATGTTGAATATTTAAGGTTTTCAGAATTTTTCACCGAAACAAATATTATACTTAAACATAATATATAAGGTACCAAATAGAAACTCTCCTGGTTATTTTGGTGGTGGAACCACACTGATCGGTAAGAGAATCACAGAGAAATTGGTGAACATACATAGAAAAAAAAAACATCGCCACAGACAAATTGAGAACCTCCTCCTTTTGTTGGTAGTGGGGAAGTCGGTTAAAAATGAAAGGAATGGAATACAAAAACATTCTTCTAATCCATTGCTTGAATGAGGCAACACCGTCCAGGAAGAAGTCAACACCATCAGACACGCTGTGCCTGCTCGTTGCATGCGTGCCACAGCCCTATTTGCCTCGTAGTCTGTGCGGTGGTGTAGTCTCGCAAAGAAGTCTCTTGAACGGGTGCACGAAGGAGATTTTAGCTGGATCTGACGCAGGATTTCAGGACAGTTAATACTACCATTTAGTATTTTATGAGGGACTGTCAGATCAGCGAAAGTCCTATGATCCTCCAGAGGCTGAAGGCCAAGGTCCCGGGGTTTAGTACCCTTCAACAGTAATCAGCTGTTCCATAGTTGTAGGCACGTTTGAATTTCCAAAACATACAGTTGCAATTATGGAGGTGCAGTTGACAGCACAGCGTCTTGAATGGTTGATAGAGACAAAATCTGTTATGTGATTTTTTTGTCTGGGGGTTCTATGATATATCAAGTGTATCGCTTGCCGATTTCGAACATAGATAAACTAAAAACAAAGATAAAGCAAAAGGATGGTTTTGAAAAAATATCTAATGATGTGCGCCACAATGTGTGGTCAGAGCTGAAACGACGACTTGTTCTTCTTCGAGCAAATAACGGAGGACATGGATAGGTAGACGTTAGGGGGTGAAACCATGGTAGGAAAACTTAGGAAGTTAAGGAAGAAATTGTATTAGGTAGCTTTTTATCTTTAATAATAAAGTGTTAATGCCAGTTTACTTTTGATCCATTCTTTTTTTGAAACCTGGTATTTAAGAATAATTTACCTGTATCCTTGAATATTCCTGTTTCCACCATTTTAAGTTAGTAAAATTTTCGTTATGGTGAATAAAACACACAGAGAGTGTTTTTGAGTTTAATCTATATCAATCTCACTTATGATTTTATGTTTTCACTTTTCCAATAATGTATCTTTGTAAAGCTGCCCCTCCTCCGCCCGTGTCCGCCATCAACAGAGGCATAGGCACCGAGGGTCTTGGAACATTCCTCGCTGGTATCTGGGGGAGTGGCAATGGCACAAACACCTTTGGGGAGAATGTTGGTGCAATAGGAGTCACCAAGGTAGTATCTGAAATGTTTATCAAGAAATGTTTGAGAGAATAATTTGGATGACCATAATTTAGCAAAATAAGTATTTTAGTCATTAATCAGAATTTTTTTTATGTGTTGCAGATTTAAATTATTTTCTTTCCATCCTATAAGGGCAAGAAGAGTCAGCTAAAGTCTAAGAGCCTAACGAATTAGGTCTAACGATCTGCTGGTTTTGCTGAAGAAAATAGTTCTGATTGGCTGACAGTGTGTTAAAACTCTTGTGATCAGTTTTGTCAGTGGATCAGTTGGATTGGATTATAAATTTAAGCCAGCTATTAAGTATGGGATCGCGCCCTGGAGCCCACCACTAAATTTGATCAGTTCTCACCCCTTACTTTACTTGATATAATCCATGGACAGGTAAAGGATCCAGTGAAGGCCTACGCCTATGCAGCTCTTCTACTAAACTTGGAGTGATAAATAAGTTTGGTGCCTTTTTCATCATCCAAGGGGTGGAGAGGATTTGTAATGTATGAATAATAATCCATTTGATCACTGCAGGTTCCCATGTAGCACAGATGGTTGGGCCAACGTTGGTAAATTGTGGAGCCACACAGTTGGCCAACGGTAGAAATGTCACCTCTTTAAACTGTTTTCCAGCCAACCTTTGTCCAACAATGGCCCAACCAAAATTATTTCACACAAAATAATAAAGATTTAGTACGAAAAGCATAATTATTAGTTGAGTAAATTGATTAAATAGTTCATAAAAACAATTTTTGAAAAAAAGCTGGAACAAAATTTTTTGGCCCAGACGGGTCTCGAACCCGGGTCCTTCGACTTATGAGCCTCTTACCTTACCACTGAGCTATCTGTGATTGTTGATACAGAGAGTTTTCAAGTGGTGAAAGAGTAGCCGACAGTTGCAATGGTCGCAATACTTCAAACATTTTTGATACTACACAGTATAATATGATTCTGTTAATCTGTTAAGGCATCATAAGTAGTTATTTTTTTTTGGAGTTAGAGAGGATACTGGTATTTGAATATAGATTAATTAATTACCGTTAGATTATTAATGCTATTATAATTGACTGTTATATGATTAATTACTCTTTCCCCTTAAATTGTTGCAAATAAGTTAAAGAATATTAATTTAAAAAATATTTGCATTATTATAATTATTAAAATTCATTGTTGTAGCCCCGGAACTGTAATATATAAAATATCTGGTTTTACAATACCTTTATCAGTTCCAAAAACTTTTGGAAACTTTTGGAACTGATAAAGGTATTGTAAAACCAGATATTTTATTATAATTATGTTGTGAAAGCTAGACCCAGAGAATGAAAGTCGTGTAAACTCAACTATGGACCATCGTTGGTCCAACAAAAGTATCTTTTGTTGGTCCAACGGAGTGAAAAACGGTTGGACAACGGTTGGCTTGATGTATGATACCCAACAATGCATATTAATGTATTTCGTTAACAATGAACCGATGTTGGTCCACAGTTGTAAATATTGGTTGGCCCAACTACGAGATATACAGTTGGACAACGGTTGGTTGGTTGTGGAAGCTCCAACCAACCATCGACCAACTGTCCCACAGTTGGCCAACGTTGGCCCAACCATCTGTGCTACATGGGTTGGCAGTAGATTGATCTAATCGTGTTCTGTGTTGATCGCAATCGCAAAGCCGTCCTTATGCGGTGCAAAAGGTGCAGGTGCGCTTGGTATAAAATTCTTGAAAATTGTAAAAATTCTACAAATTTTATGTAAGTCAATTATTTAAAAAGAATAAGGAGATAAATAAATACAGTATCACACATTGCAATTAAATATTAATTTGTATTTTAGGGATACCTACAACATTTATTGTAGTAAGGGGCCCACCTCTGTATGTTTTGCACTGGGCCCCGCAACACCCAAGCCAGCTCTGTGTTGACGCTTCTACAAGGAGTGATAAATAAGTTTAGTCTTTGACTATTGATACAACTAGACACTCCATCCCCATGTTGTCATCAGATGTTGTCATGATGTTATCAAAGTCGTGAACAACTAATGTAAATTACTAATTTCTGTTGAATACAAGAAACTTTTTTACCAAGTCAAAAACTGATGGAATAGTATATTTCATTACTAGGACCGAAAGTGGCATTTTCCGTTGCGCGCTCAAGTTTTTGTTTGAGGCGAAGCCGAACACAGGGAACCCCAATTTCACGTGCGAGGCGAAGCCGAGTATGTGAGAGCTATTTTCACGTACGAGGCGAAGCCGAGGACGGAAATAATGGAGCAAGTGCCGGATAATAACTTTCGGTACGAGTTATGAACGATACTTTTCATCACGACGCAAAAATACACAAACACAGAATAGCAGACCTCAGTAATATTAAAACAATTTGATTTCTCAATTAATTTGATTGAACATCAAAATAAAATAAAATCTTCTAAAAAGGAACCTACGTATATTTCTCAATAAATTTGGTTTAAACATCAAAATAAAAGAATAAAACAACTTTTAAAAATACATACAGCTGATTCAAATTATTAAATTAAACCGTAACAAAACACTAGCGCGCGTAGTGAATAAATGGAGAACTAATTGAGAGCGAGGGAAAGTAGATTTAGAGGGAGGTAAAATCAGCTGATCGATTTTCCCTCGCCCTAAATTAGAGCTTGGGAAACGACTACTTTCATTGATGTCAGCTGTTATCGAAAATAGTTACTTTCGTTAAGGAGTGATGAAAAACTTATTGTACGCTCTAGCAACTGTTATGGCTCATCAACTATGTTACAAAAAAATAAAGTAGGAAATAGAATTTTATAAACACTATTACATTCTGTGACTGCCTCAGTGAGTGCCTCATACAGCTATGTTTTATTATTTAAAGAAAATTCTCGACAGCTGTGCAAATAGATGGGATTTCTAATTCAGTGTCCAATAGTCAACGGTTTGGTGTTTCCATTATCATCTAATGGATGGAGAGGATGTATAGGCCTAATATTTCTATGTTTAATCACTGCAGGTTGGCAGTAGAAGAGTGATTCAGTACGCCTGTGTATTGATGCTTCTACAAGGAGTGATCAATAAGTTTGGTGCCTTCTTCATCATCATACCGGAGCCTGTAGTAGGGGGGATCTTCTGTGTTATGTTTGGCATGATCACAGCATTCGGTAAAGCTTAAATTTTGAAGATTATATTTCAAATTTGTTACTCAGGTGTATTTTATAATTTACTAGCTTTAAATGTGGTTTATTTATGTCAATGCTTGTCTATTTTCAAGATGAGCTTGTTTGCATGGCTCAACCATGTCCTGGTTGAAGTTCGTTTGCTACGCTTACTCAGTTTGGAGCCTTTTGAAGGATCTTCACCAAACACCACACAAACCAAACCATCCTTGAATAATGCTTAATAATGCCTGAAAGTTTCATCACAATTTGTCGACCGGTTTCGGAGTCCATAAAGGACAAACAAACATACATTGGATTTTATATATATAGATGAGGTCATTTCAGCACATCTGTTATATTATTAAGGTGATGGGTGATACAGTCAAATTTGTGGTTATGGCTTAAGACCAAATAAATATTTTAGCATAGGCCTATGGCACATCAAAATGAATCTCAGAGTGTGTAGATTTACCAAAAATCATTGGTATTAGCATTTTCTCTGTTAGGCTCTGCCTAACAGGGTGTTATCCAAACGGTCCTACACGCTTTCAAAGCTATTTAATTAATTAAATTAATAACGGCAAGACCTTTGCTGGTCTAAAGGTTAGTAAAGGTTTAGTTCAGTTTTGCTCATAGCTTGCCATTTCAAGGAATTCTTTGATCAAAATTGTTAAGCAAGATGAAAATTCAAATTATAATCCATGTATATGACACTATTGTATTTCATAAAGAAATCTCAATAAAGAAAATTGATTGATTAATTGATCTTTATTTGTAAATTTTGTATAACAGGTAAAGGGGTTTGACTAAAATTGGAGAAATAGGGTAAAATAACTTTTTTGTACCATATCCAAAATATAAAGTAATAGATGTTATCGTTATATGTTATGTTGTCAGATTATAAATTGATCTATATTGAATTCAAATATAAGTAGAAGAGTTGAAAGTAAGTAGATCAACACTTCAAAATAAGTTAATCTTTTCAAATTAAATTAAATTGTTATTGTATTTAAACACGCACGAATTTAAGTTGTGACTTATGTATACTATAAGGTATGATACAAAAAAGGTATGATATATAATCTGTATATAAAGAAAAGAATTTTACTACAAGAAGTGATTGATATAAGTATTTGTTTTTTAAGTAAATATTAGATGTCTAGCTATATCATACAGCTTTGTATCTGCACAGATCTCCCCCATATATATACACGTACTACCGCCATTAATTGCTAAGCAAGGGTATGGTAGTTTGTAACATAATGTCATACTATTCTCTGCATTCTTCTTTATACTATAGGTTATTTTGACTAATTTTAAATACTTAGATAATTTCAAATATGCAAATGCGGCGATTACCTATGATTCTTAATTATTTAATTTTTTAACTTTCCAAAACACTGAATTCGGCATCTATGTTCTAGGACTATCCGCTTTGCAGTATGTCGAACTGAATTCTTCCAGAAACTTGTACATCATTGGCTTCTCAATGTTCTTTTCTTTGGTAAGGAAACAAAGTAAAAATACCAATACGTAATAATTTTATATACAGTAATGCAACAAAACAAAAATATTAGGTCAGTTAATTGCTAACTTATGTTAACTGTACAATATAGATGCAGTTAGATTATTCATTTCCATTAATCTACATGGAATAAAAACCTGTCACCTCATTGAGATTTTTGGTAGAACTGCTGGAAATATACCATTTAATTGAACTTACTGCTCAGTAGTTCCGTGTAAACATGATTTACTAGCAGAGTACCGGTACCCGCCTTTCATATGAGGTTGGCATATAAGTAGAAAATGCTTTTTGCAGTTATGGGGGAGGAGGAGGATAGTGTATAGCACATATAGGTACCATAGCCATAATGGGGAAAGAGCTGGTCTAGTGGTTAGAGCGCTGGACTTCGGTTCCAGAGGTCCTGGGTTCAAATCCCGCCAAATCACCAATGGTTTTTATCTATGTGATAATGCCGCAACCCTTAGGTCTAGCCTGAAGTAATGTGAAAAACAATTCCGGGCTCGTACCTAGCGTCTTAGGACAAAAAAAAAACCATAGCCATAATGTTCTACCACTGCACCTAAACCATAGAAATATGTAAAGTTTTCATTGTGTACCACATATTTTTGTTGCTAGTTGGTTCATTAGCTGTTATCATAAATGCAAAAAATATAGTGCTGCACCTAATTGCTATTTAATATCATAGAACCAACTTGTGCAGTTGAAACAACTGACAGAATTCTTTAATTCCTTTTAAACATGAACGAGCTGGTGGCCCGTCCTACTTACAGGAATCGAGTTGTCAACTAAAACGGAATAATTCAGAACATCTAGTTTACACGCATAGACACAAATTCTGGCAGTTTTAATGGGCAAGATCACCTCATAAACAAATGTAATGTGACCACCTATTTATTCCATTCGAATATAGACCTAAAATATGGCGATATGCCGTACCTTATCTTACCTCCGTGACCACTGAAACTTTTATGAGGATTCTCTTCTATCACCTGCCTCTTCAAAATTTAGATTCCAGTCTGAGGATGCATTATATAACTTGATATTTCCCGCCTATCGTGTGGTACTCCTTGGAATACTTTTTAAAAGTTTATGCAGAGCCTGTCCATCCAAGCTTTACCTACTTCTGGAAAGCATCCCTATATTTGGGTGTTGACACATTTCTCTTAGCTCTCTGTTCTTTTTTATTTCGACCTCCGGGCCGTTATCTTGAACTGGTCTGTATATTTTCTTTGCACTTTATTATCTAACCCAGCATTAAGGTTTTTCGGTTCTGTGATAATATTTTTATACATATGAACTGTTATTCCTTATTGTATTTATGAATTTCTTTAATGTCTCACAGTTGTTCTTTGTTTACTATTTACATTTTGTATTTGTATGTTACAAATCTTTACTTGACTTCAGAGTTTATTAAAACCTATCCTTTTTAGCACTATTGACCTTAAGAGTGCTTACCATCAAATACAAATTGAAAAATGAAATAGTAACTGCAACTAAAGCCCCAATCCAAAATGACATACCATTTACAGTTGAGACCGATGCATCTGAGTTTTCAATCGGCTAAACCTTGTCACAAGCAGGACGTCCAGTAGCTTTTTATTCTAAAACATTATCAAAATCTGAAAAGAACCATTCTTCTGTTGAAAAAGAAGCTCAAGCAATCGTAGAATCTCTTAAGAAGTGGAGACACTATCTTATTGGCCGGCCATTCCTACTAATTACAGACCAAAGATCAGTTTCTTTCATGTTTGACAATAAAAGATTTGGAAAAATAAAGAATGAAAAGGTACAACGTTGGCGTTTAGAACTGTCTTGTTTCAGTTTCAAGTATGATATCGTATATCGACCAGGCAAGGAAAATGGAGTTGCAGACACAATGTCACGATTGTGTGGAACGATTTGTGGTCGTCCAAACTTAAATGATATCCACACGAGCCTGTGTCACCCGGGAGTGACAAGATTTTACCACTGGATTAGATCGAAAAACTTACCTTTTTCACTGGAAGAAGTTCGTCGTACTATAGCTCAATGTCGAATTTGTGCTGAACTTAAGCCTAGGTTTTGTAAATATGAAGGTACGTTAATCAAAGCTACAGCACCTTTTGAGCGACTAAACTTAGACTTTAAAGGACCAATTAATTCCAAGTGCTACACAAAATAAATACATATTAACTGTTGTAGACGAGTATTCACGATATCCATTTGCTTTCCCCTGTAGAGACATGACTTCCAGTACCGTGATTGAGAAACTGAAAGAAATGTTTACAATTTTTGGTATGCCTTCATTCATTCATTCAGACCGAGGAACGTCATTAATGTCAAACGAATTAAAGTCTTTCTTACAAACTCATGGTGTTGCGTCAAGCCACTCTTCTGCTTATAATCCTAGAGGGAATGGCCAAGTAGAGAGATTCAATGGCACTATATGGAAGACTGTTATGCTTGCTCTCAGAACCCAAGACCTATCCGTAAAGTATTGGGAATCAGTTCTTCCTGAAGCACTTCACTCAATAAGATCATTATTATGTACATCAACCAATACAACACCTCATGAACTGATGTTTAAGCACCCCAGAATATCGTATTATGGAGGTTCAGTTCCAAGCTGGCTGCCACAACCCGGCCCAGTACTGTTGAGAAGGCACAACAGATCCAGCAAGTATGACTCACTTGTAGAAGAGGTAGAACTTATTCAAGCAAATCCAGGTTATGCTCATGTGAAACTCCCAAATGGACAAGAGAAGACAGTATCCATAAGAGATCTGGCCCCAGCACTTGGACAATCATCTTTAGAAACAGACTACCAATTGCCAGAAACAGATGGAAATGAACAAGTTATTCAAGAACCGGAGGTTTCATTTGATCAAGAACAAGACGAAAATGATTCTAGTGGGACATTAAGTGACACGAATGTACCAGTTGGACATGCAAACAGTTCTTGCAAAGACTCAAGTTCAGTGCCTTCCAAAACGCATCCACAGCGTATACGGCAAAGACCTTACTATCTAAAAGACTACGTCTCGTTTTAGGGTGGGAAGAATGTGATAATATTTTTATACATATGAACTGTTATTATTCCTTATTGTACAGGGTGTTTATAAAAAAACTTTACAACTTTAACATTCTCCCATTCATGATCCATGGGACATAAACGTTTCCTATTGACACCACATGAAAGGGCTGCTCAAAAAGTTTTAATCAGCTGGCAGTTCAATCAGCTGATGGCCTTACATTGTTGTTTGGTAAACAAAAACAAATAATTGAAAAGTCTCATTAGCATCGCAATGGAAGCACGAATCAAAGCGCAGTGTGTGGAGTGGTTCATTGAAACGAAATCTGATGTTGTTGTTCAACGGAGATTTCGGACAAGATATAATAGGAATCCTCCTTCAAGACCCACAATGAGGGCTCCCCCGCACTGGAAGAGGTTTGTTCGGGATTGTTTGGATCAAAAATTCCCAAATCGTTGGATTGGCCGTGGTGGGCCAACACCTTGGCCTCCTAGGTCACCAGATATAACTCCATGTGACTTTTTTGTTTGGGGTTTTGTTAAGAATCGTGTCTACGCTAGTAAAGTGGACAACAAAGAAGAACTAAGAGAAAGGATCAGGAGAGCGTTTGATGAAATAGATCATTCAATTTTGCGTCGTGTTTGGTCAGAACTGGAATGTCGACTTGATTTTTTGCGAGCAAACAACGGGAAACACATTGAAGTTAGGTAAACTTCTTATCATGTAAATAAAACTTGAGAAAATTTCCTAAATTTTAATTTTTGTTTCATAGCTGTAAGTGAAAAAATAAAGGTTTTATGATTGTTTAAAGTTGTAAAGTTTTTTTATAAACACCCTGTATTTATGAATTTCTTTATTGTCTCACAGTTGTTCTTTGTTTACTATTTACATTTTGTATTTGTATGTTCCAAATCTTTACTTGACTTCAGAGTTTATTAAAACCTATCCTTAGGTCAATTCATAATGAGTTTTATTTGCACTTCAGGTTCTTTGGTCAGTGTCCAAGTTTCTGAATCATCACTACTACGGGGATAGTGGTATGGTTTCTTCAACTTTGTTTTATAGAGACCTACTACACCGATTGACGCTTTCATTACTAACCAAAATTTTTTTATGTCAACATACTCACATTGAAACATACAGAAAAAGAAGTATCAACACGTAAACCACTTATATCTTAAACAATTAAGCGATAAGCTGCTGAAAAAATATTTCCCAAATATGAGTTGAAATTTGCAATGCATAAACTAAATACTTACACAGATTACATTTATGACAAAACTTGATTAAACGCAAGTGTTTGAGATGTTTAGTTCAAAATAACACATTTCGTGATAACGCAGATCCTTCACGGTAGGGGAAAACTACCTACATTTTAAAGTGAAATAGTATGTAGGCAAACAACAATATTTTTTTAAACAAACAACTTGTAACATAAACATTTCAATGACAGTTATAAACCAGCTGTTAGTTAAACCAGCATTGAAAATACTTTAAATTGCTAGCGTCGGCTGCTAGACTTAAAAAAAAATAAAACTTAATTTCTAAAAAACTGAAATCCTAAACCAAAATTATGGCTTCGACATTCCCTAGTTCTCAAAATTATCTTTCTTTTAACACAAAAATCATGAAAATCCGTCAAGTGGTTGATTTAGAATCGTGAAATAAAAAAACCCTGTTTCGTTTTAATATTATAGATACTCATAAGGTTAGGGGAAACTCTAGAGCCCCTGGGGTGGAGCAGGTAAGGATTTTTTAGATAAGAATATGTCTTTAGGTTAATTGGGAGTGTGAGCTATCATCATACCAAATTTCAACCCTGCCAGTTTAGTATGTTTTACGTTTACTTGCCATAAACATCCATCCATCCATCCATACATCCAAACTTTGAGACTTATAATATTAGTAGGATTTACAAGATTACCAATACCATAACAGCTTATATAATATGTTTTGATTCCAAGATACCTGATAACTGATACTGTTTTTAAGTATAATGAATATACCGGTACCCACCAATTTCATAATCTTATACTCATGCTAGGCCTATATAATGAAACTCTTGGTTTGTTCTGCAGGTTTTGCCCAAATGGATGGTTGCCAATCCAGGAGCCATCCAGACAGGCAATGAGATCCTGGACAGTGTCCTGACAGTCCTGCTCAGTACAAGTATCCTTGTAGGAGGACTCATTGGCTGCTTCCTGGATAATGTGATTCCTGGTAACTTCTAAAATCTTTAAAATATTATTAGTGCACTTTATAGTATGCATCCAGTTTTTTCCAAACAAGTTAAGATTTTGCTTTTTAGAATACATACTCTCTTAATATGTCCCTTAGTAAATCAAAATAGCAAAGTCAAATTTCAAAAATATTTTACTATTTGTAAAGTAAACTGTATCAGATGTTTATTTTAACACTTGATCACCTAAGGTCTTGTGTAAATCACAGCTGGAAAATTTCAAACAAAAATCTTACTGTTAGAGGTAAATTTTGGAGTCGATAAAAAAGTGTTATGTCGGGGCTTAAAAGCAGACTTATTTCTCATGGAGCATTTTGTATTGCCCTAGACTTATCGTATTGCATTTTGTTAATCAAAGGAGGATTCAAAAATCTTTATACAAAAGCATTACATTTATTGAGAACTAGCTGTACCCGCGGGCTTTGCCCCGTTTAACTTCTTAATTTTCAAGATAAGCTCGTTCGCATGGTTCAATCACGTCCTGGTTGAACTCGTTAGGTCGTTAGGTTGGAGCTCGTTCGCTGCGCTCACTTTACTTCAGGTTAGCTCGTTCGCTACGCTAACTCGCCTCCAGGTTGAAGTTCGTTCGCTACGCTCACTCACCTTTTGGTTACAAATTAGCTGTCATAAATAAAAAAAAAATAATAGTGCTGCACCCTGTTGGTAATCCTCGTAACTTTAATGCTATTGCACATTATAGAACAGAACCAACTTGTTTAATTGAAACAGCTGTTAAGATTCATTAATTCCATTTAAATATGAGTACTTAAAAGGTTAACATGGGAAACTCCAGAGCCACTGGGGCGGAGCCCGAGAGTCCGATCAGAATAAAAACTATTTAGTTTTCCTATTTAATGCCTAAAGAATCAATGTACCAAATTTCAGCCTCCTAGGTAAATGGGAAGTGGGAGAATTAGTGATGAGTGAGTGAGTGAGTCAGTCAGTCAGTGAGGGCTTTGCCTTTTATATATATAGATTATTATAACAAGATCATGTGATTACATGTGTTACTATACAACAGCTGTAGCAGGGTGCTAAGGTGCTCCCCTGACAACTATCAGGAGGTTTGTGTGTAATCCTGGTATCATATAGGGAATATTACCGTAGGTATCATGTTAAGACTTTAGACCCGGGACCGATTTTAATTTTTCATTTTGATGTCCCTAGAAGCCAAAAACACCATCCGTTCAAATTCATATACAGGGTGTCACAAAAAAGTGTGATGGGCTATACAGGACCTGATTCTACATGCAAAAATAAGTCAAAAATGAAGAATAAAAGTTTTTAGATTTCGGCTTAGTTTAGCCGTGATCCGCCATTTTGTTTTTTGGGGAAAATATTTATTATTTCAAAATCCCTTTGAGATATTTTTACGAAACTTGGCAAAATTGTTTAAACTATAGTAAGTAACATTTATAAAAAAAATTATTATTTTAACTTTCCAAATTTCAAAATGGCGGAGGTTTGAATTTTTTAATGCCAAATTTCATGAAAACCGGTACCTAAATCAAAGTCTTGTAAGACACAAAAGTTTTAGTATTTACTATAACAAATCCAACAAAACAAAAATGAATAAAATCGGTTCATAAATAAAGAAGCTGTGTTTATTTTAGTAATTTAGACTGTAATTACTTAATACGTTACATAAACTATTACATTACATTTAATACATTTTAATATTAATAATTTAATTTCAGTCTAAATTACTAAAATAAACACGGCTTCTTTATTTATGAACCGATTTTATTCATTTTTGTTTTGTTGGATTTGTCATAATAAATACTAAAACTTTTGTGTCTTACAAAATTTTGATTTAGGTACCGGTTTTCATGAAATTTGGCATTAAAAAATTCAAACGGCCACCATTTTGAAATTTGGAAAGTTAAAATAATAATTTTTTATAAATGTTACTTACTATAGTTTAAACAATTTTGCCAAGTTTCGTAAAAATATCTATAAGGGATTTTGAAATAATAAATATTTTCCCCAAAAAACAAAATGGCGGATTACGGCTAAACTAAGCCGAAAAAATTTTATTCTTCATTTTTGACTTATTTTTGCATGCAGAATTAGGTCCTGTATAGCCCTAGCCCATCACACTTTTTTGTGACACCCTGTATAAATATATTGTATACCGGGTGTCCAAAACCACCCGTACACCCCTTTAAAAATGAAGGAAACCTTTTCTTACAAACAACTAATAACACAGAACTAGATAAATTGGGCACGGTCGACCAAATGGTGATATTTTCAAATTCAAAATCACACCGGAAGTGGCTTTTTGAGACCGGAAGTTGACTTTTTTTAAATATAAACTACCAATTTTTATTAAAGAATCGGATTCTACGTTAAAAAATACATAGCTTTTATCTAAAACAGTTTTTGAAAAAACTTGTTTTCTACCTCTAATCCCCAAATTAAAGTCAATAATTTTGAGTCATTGTCTGTCAAAGTTACTCAAAACAATAATAGAGAAAAACAAATAACAAAGATTACATAAAGACATATGAAGAATAGAATCAGCTGTTTATTGTAAACACCTTAGTAATTGAGTAACAGCTGGTCTACACATTGCTTAATTTAATTTTTGTTTAAATCATTTGTTTTTACATTTGTACATTTTAATTTAAAAATAAATGATTTTTTAAATAAAATGATACTAAGCAATGTGTAGACCAGCTGTTACTCAATTAATATAATGTTTACAATGAACAGCTGATTCTATTTATCACAGGTCTTTATGTAATCTTTATTATTTGTTTTTCTCTATTATTGTTTCAAGCAACTTTGGCAGATGAATGACCCAAAATTATTGACTTTAATAGGAGAATAGAGGTAGAAAACTAGTTGTTTTCAAAAAATGTTTTATACAAAAGTTATGTATTTTTCAACGTAGAATCCGATTCTGTAATCAAAATTGGTAGCTTACATTTCAAAAAGTCAACTTCCGGTCTGAAAAAGCCACTTCCGGTGTGATTTTGGATTTGAAATTATCACCATTTCGTGGACCGTACCCAATGTAGCTAGTTCTGTATTATTTTTGGTTTCTAAGAAAATGTTTCCATCGTTTTGAAAGGGGTGTACGGGTGGTTTTGGACACCCAGTATACAGGGTGATTGATATAAGTGTGCCAGCCGTTTTATTCGCAAACTATAAGAGATATCAAAAAAAGTTAAATGGTAAGTGCCTTGGATTTTCTATTTAAAAACTTGTAGTTAAGTCAAAAAAATTATTTTAGCCGCCATTTTTCCAATATGGCCGCCAACTTTGATTTTTCTTATAGAACATCCTGTAAATTTATTTTATGATGTATTCTGGTAGAAAATGTGATTTTAAGACGATTTTATTCTTGTGATTTTTTTCATAAACTTAACCGTTTCAAAGATAATAATGGATAAAGTTTTGAAATTTTTGCATGAGAAAGAGTTTCGATACAGGCCTAAGCAAGCATGCCAGCTGTTTTATTCGAAAACCATTCAAAATTTCACAACAAACCATTATTATCTTTGAAACGGTTAGGTTTATGAAAAAATCACAAGAATAAAATCGTCTTAAAATTACATTTTCTACCAGAATACATCATAAAATACAGGGTGTTCCATAAGAAAAATCAAAGTTGTCGGCCATATTGGAAAAATGGCGGCTAAAATAATTTTTTCGACTTTACTACAATTTTTTAATAAAAAAGTCCAAGGCACTTACCATTTAACTTTTTTTGATATCTCTTATGGTTTTCGAATAAAACGGCTGGCACACTTATATCAATCACCCTGTATATTATACAGGGATCACCCTGTACATATACAGGGTGTTTCAGAATTAGTGTCGGATATTTTAGGGTATTATTCCTGGGTAAGAAACATATCCAAATATCATATTTAAACAGTCCGGAAGTCTTTATTTACTCAAACAGCCGCCATTTTGTTTTTTCCCTTTAATATTTTTTTTTAAGAGAATGGTAAAACATACGGAATTGAAATCTTGCACAAACATTTCTGACTACTAGGCAAAGCTACAAAACAATTATGAAAATTTTCCAAATACATAAAACAAAATGGCGGACATTTAACATTTTGTTTCTTAAATAACTCAAAAACCGTTGATTTTATGACAATTTTACAAGTATAACTTTTTTTAGGTAATTTTATTACAAATTGATTGACACCTTAATTTTTACAATTGGACATATATTAACTGAGATATAGCAGTTTTAGTGATACGTGACCACTGGAGGTTAGTTGTAGTGCATGCGGCGCCATGCAGCTAAAGTCTGCCACAACGTATGGCTCCGCATGCACTACAACTAACCTCCAGTGGTCACGTATCACTAAAACTGCTATATCTCAGTTAATATATGTCCAATTGTAAAAATTAAGGTGTCAATCGATTTGTAATAAAATTACCTAAAAAAAGTTATCCTTGTAAAACTGTCATAAAATCAACGGTTTTTGAGTTATTTAAGAAACAAAATGTTAAATGTCCGCCATTTTGTTTTATGTATTTGGAAAATTTTCATAATTTTTTTGTAGCTTTGCCTAGTAGTTAGAAATGTTTGTGCAAGATTTCAATTCCGTATGTTTTACCATTCTCTTTAAAAAAAATATTAAAGGGAAAAAACAAAATGGCGGCTGTTTGAGTAAATAAAGACTTCCGGACTGTTTAAATATGATATTTGGATATGTTTCTTACCCAGGAATAATACCCTAAAATATCCGACACTAATTCTGAAACACCCTGTATATACGAGGCATGTTTTTTTAAGTAAGTTCCGTTTTTAAATTTCTCCGTTCCAGCGCTGCGATTGGCATTTTGGACATTTGCGCTGTGAATGTGCATCTATTGGCAAGCCTGCACAGGAAATTTGGCAAAAATCAGCCGTGTTTACATCCGGTTTTGAGCATTCAAAATGGTGCCGCCAATTGAGACTGCCGCCGTGAATTGCGTGCTGTAATTAGATTTTTAACTGCTTAAGGTGTGAAAGCCATTCAAAAAATTATCGAAAATTTATTTATTGAAATTCATCGAAAAATTATTGAAGTGTATTGCGAGAACATTTAAGAGTGACGGAATGGTACACAAGTGGGTAAGGGTAAGGGCATTTAAAGACGGCCCCACTAACGTTCATGATAAGCAACGCACTGGGTGGCGTCATTACTGTCACTAGTACTCAGTGTGTTGCATAGCAGAACTGGCAAATATTATTCATCTCACCAAGTGAATGTGTATCTGGATGAGTATCTGTTAGAACAGACCTCTCTTTCTCTACTCTCCTTATACGCATAAGATATCTTATTATTAATTGTCCCCTCCTCCCGTTTTCAATATTTCTTCTTTGAGCTTGAGGCATTTTCTGTTCTTCCAACAAAACTGATAAACTGTTTAACTTGGTCTTAACCTACTGAATATTACAAACATTAGTATTTACACCAAACAAGCTAATGAGTTTCTTTTTATAAACTCTGTTTTTGTTTTTAAATTTGTTCTATGTATTTCTTATGGGGAAAACCCGATCTTTGAGAGGGTCTCACACCCTTAAGAGTAGAAATTTTAAAATTCTAAAACCTTATTGCAAAACTTCATATTGAGACGAATCTTTTGACACCTTAATTAAACGTTGAAATTGGTCCACAAATAAGGGAGGAGTCGCGTTAACAAAAAACGGCTTACAGTATAGATTTTTTGTTTCTGGAAGGGCGTGACATAAAAGACACTGAAACTCTCATGATAAATCATCCTATATCGATTTGACTTTTGGTTAAAAAGTCTGCATATGCGACGAATTCAGTAATTTATATCAGTTTCAATATGTTTGTGGCTCATTTCAACTGTCTATTTTCAAAACAAAAATATTCATATGATGACAACTTTAACACATGGATGCGGAATGTCTATATCAATAGTTAAAGATTCTACTGTGTGAAGTAGGATGTATTGTAAACATTTTGGTTGGCTTTTTGTGCGTACAAGAAATCTCTTAAACAAAAATATTATAATTTTTGAGTTTCCTATATAGGTACGCCCAAAGAGAGGGGATTGACTGCATGGGCTGAACAGATGAAGTTGGAGACATCTAGTGGAGAGCATGAATCCAGTACTTATGACTTCCCTGTGGGCATGGGGCTTGTCAAGAGGTGATTGGAATATCTGTTTTGAGAATTTTACACATAATAGCTGGAAGAACTTAAAGTATATCTAAGTTACATTATAGTTGTTTGTTATTCCCCACAAACAAGTCTCATGAGAAATACTTTGAAACTGTCAAGTTATGGTTGGTTTTTAACACAGAATGAAAATTCCCGGACAACATCATGTCTCATCATGTGCCGGGATCATTTCTCATTATGTCTACTATTAAAAGGCCTCGGTCGGGCATTGAGCCAAAGGCGAGTATAACAGTATGAACCAGTATGTTGGTTGTTTATTGATGTTTTTTTTACATTGATAACATTAGTGTCTCAAATAACAATAGTAAAATGTTTCATTAAAGAAAGTTTGTGTCGAACCAGATTTTGCTGAATATCTGTGTGTGTGTGAAAATGTTTAAAATCATTCTACAAAATATCTCAACCCTCCCGCTAGTTGTTAGCTAATAAGTTAGCTATCAAAATGCTTATTAATTTGCTACTATTAACAAACAGCTATTACTGGATGTATTCAACTACTACAGTAGACGGTTCAAGGACAGTTATGGATATAGCATAGAAATTACTTGATCTACCGGTACTTAGATAGAACGCAATAAAGATAAAATTTCAATTACTGAAATATTTCTCACTTTACAGGTGCAAGTGGATGTCATATCTACCATTCATGCCAACCTACAAGTCTGGCCAGTGGTGCAGTTAGTTACATTGTTTACATTGTGCTTTTGCTCTTATGTCTGCCCACGTGAAAGAAACAGGACATTTAAGCTTTTACCTACCCGCCATGTTAAACTTCCCTATCCCAAGCGTGATGTATACAACTTCCTTACTTCTCGAGTGATGTAAAGTTGAAAAAACTCACTCGGTGATGTAATGAAACCCATTTAAATAACATTGAGTGCTTAACTTAAAAAATATACCTCTATGGAGCCAACGACGTTCAACGCTAGAAATCAGCTGTGCGCTTGAATGGTATTGTTATGCTTTTAAGTATTTTCCTAACCTAGCTTTTGTTTGTAAAAGAAGGTTACTGTTACCGTAGACGATGAGGGAAATGAATAATGAAAAATATCGTACGTAACCCCATGTATATTGTCGGGTCAGGTAAAATCTTGTACGTTACACGTTACGCAAGAGCGTGTTTACATCTCTTAGGTGAATTATGCAACTCGCTTCCGCTCGTTGCACAACATTCACCTGCGTGATGTAAAAACGCTCTTACTACTCTTGTAATGTAAATAGCTATTACGTTTGATATGCTGTAAATGATTTCCTTGAGCTATGTATATAAGTATGTTATTATATATATGTTAAACTCAATGTTTAGTGAACATAAAAAAAATTGTGTGTTGAATTGTAAACTGTTAAACCAAGCAACCAATGAGAAAGGCCAAGTGTATGACATACGTGGTAAACCACTAGAGGAAAAATCTAAGTACAGGCCAAAATACTTTAGATACTTCCGACACAAAAAGTTAATTTTCTTTACAATATTTGTGTGCAAAAGAACTTACCGACTACGGTATTACCATTTCAGTCCCTAATTTAAATCAATTCTCAGCCTCGGTAACTATCTAACTAATATAAGTCTATAGTCTAAGTCTACTCTTTATAAGCTCAGGAATTTTTGTAATAAGAGGTCTGTCTAAGTTTACCGATTCCTGTGTGACCTTGAGTGCATATTATGGACTGGTATATCCATTCTTGTCGTATCTACTGGCAGTCTTGGGCTGTGAGAGCTTTCAAACAAAATTGGTCTTCTGTCTTAAAAAAAAAAAAAAAAAAAAAAAACTAAGAGCCGCCTTCAAAATATCCTGTCACACTTCTTGCAAGCCTATCTTTTAAGGAAAACAGTAAGTACAATATGGCAATTTAAAGTCACTTTGAGGGTTTCTCCCATGAAAAAAACATAGAATATAAGAATATTTATTTTCTTAAACATGGTGGGTTTTTTATCCACTTTCTAAAAAATCCTACCCACGGCCTATACACCCCTATATAAATGTTCTATACTATTGTCCAACTCCATAAACATTAGAAATCCCCAAATTCATTCCCTTGTATATTTTCAAAATAGTGCGAGGTTTGCACGAGAACACGGGCGCGATCCCGGCCACGGGCATGCTCTTGCTCCTCACTTCTTGCTTCTCGCTTTTCGTCTCTAATGGTGACGCGGTGAAATGGCAACATCCTTTGCAGAAATCCATGAGTTCCCAGACAGCACATGACATCGATTAGACGTCTAGATCAAGTATACTAAGTTAATATAATGTCCACGTATATATATATATATCTACGTCTATTAGATCTCTGCGTTAAAATGTCAAATGAACATTCAGACGCAGACATCGTATATACATCCATTATATGTTGATATATGTATACATGATGTGTGCGACATAACAGCTAATAGATGTTGTAAAGATGTCATCAAATAATTGTGTTTTACATTCGATGACATCTTTACAACGTCTATTAGCTGTTATGTCGCACACGTCATGTATACATCTATCAACATATAATGGATGTATATACGATGTCTGCGTCTGAATGTTCATTTGACATTTTAACGCAGACATCTAATAGACGTAGATATATATACATCAGATTAGTTTAGTGATCTAAACACAATTAATTTAACTAGCAAACAAAATTATAACCAAACATAGCATTAATTATTGATAAAGAGTTCTCAATTATGTCTATACTTATATTATTTAGTATGCTTACAAAAATATATAATTTAGAATGTATTTTTATATCATTTTATCAACAAAGACGAGTAGTATTAACAAACAATACAGTTTTTCATCTATAAATAATATGCCAGAGGCGTACGTAATTACGCTGCCCCCTCCCCCCTTAATGTAAACATTTGATAATTCTTGAGGTATATATAGGCTACACTATACACTGTACCCAAGTAGCACACATTGATGGCCCAACGTTAGGAAATGGTCAGCACAGTGTTGGGAAATGGTTGGCGGAAATTTTAATGCCTTGCCAACGTAGGCCCTACGGTAACTTGTATTCGTTGGCCCTACAAAGGAAAAAATTGCGATTGGGCGTTTGTTAGATTTAAGTATAAAACATTCTAAAACACATTTTAACATATAAAAATTTATTTATAAGAACACAAATGCTATGGCATTAGAATATAAGACGTTTGGAGAAAACTGGATCTATAATAAATGTAATCAGATGATGTTGTGATACTAGATTTTTAATAGTTGAACAATTGAAGGGGAAAGATTAATTAATCATATAACAATCAATTATAATAACATTACTAATCTAATGGTAATTAAATAATCTATATTCAAATACCGGTATCCTCTCTAACTCCTAGAAAAACAATTCAACTACTTGATGCCTAAACAGATTAACAGAATCATATTATTATATAGGCCTACTGTAGGGCCCTACTGTAGTTTCAAAAATGTTTTAAGTTTTGCGGCCATTGCAACTGTCGGCTACTCTTTGATCAATTGAACGTTGAAAACTCTCAATATCAACAATCACAGATAGCTCAGGGGTAAGGTAAGAGGCTCATAAGTCAAGGGTATCGGGTTCGAGACCCGTCTGGGCAAAAAAAATTCGGTCTGGTTTTTTTTTTCAAAATTTGTTTTTATGAACTATTTAATCAATTTACTCAACTAATAATTATGCTTATCATACTAAATCTTTATTATTTTGTGTTTTTATGTTTATTTTAGGCCCCATGGGAAGGTTTATGCTATCTTTATACATAGATGTCTAATAGACGTATAATTAATGTCTAGGTCAGAATAATAACATCTAATAGACGTCTACACTAAACATAACACACATCTATTAAACGTGGTGACATATAAACGTTGATGAGGTTTATTAGATGTTGAAGTCCAAAGTGATAATATCTAATAGATATCGGCATTAGACATGAGAAACGTCTAATGAACATCTATTATAATTATACAGGACTGTGCTGTATGGGTTCTGGCTATACTTGAGAACCCAAGCCATTTGACATACAACAAAATCACCCTTCCTCCTAATCCCCTTCTCTACCAAAAACATGTCTTTATACTTGCGGTCTTTAACAACTCCTCTGTATAGAACCCTCCCCTGATTATATTGCCATTTTCATCTTTCAAAATATAAGTCACAGGCTTTGTATTCTTAACTTCTGATATTGTAAATAGCTCCCCTGTCCAATTTGGTCTTTTATCCTAATTTATATATCCTTTACTAAACACCCATGTTTATACTTGGAAATCATCACGCTATCACCTACCTAATATCTTGGCTTTTTAACTTGCCTGTTAGAAGTCAACCTCTCGTGCACATATTTACTATTCTTAACACTCACTGGTTAGGCTTCATTCCTATAGACCTATGCACCTTATTATTATATTTTCTAATTAACTTTGGAAGTAAATCCAACCATTTATAACTCCCCTGAGCACTAAATTCCCTATATAACAAATTCTTTACAGTTCTCTGGAACCTTTCCACAATTGCAGCCTTAGTTGTAGTTGGACAATAGTATAGAACATTTATATAGGGGTGCATAGGCCGTGGGTAGGATTTTTATAAGTGGATAAAAAAAACCACCATGTTTTTTTCAAACTATCACCTTTTTCAACGGCAATATCACCCAATGCAATACACTCGCAGGCACAGAAACAATATTCAGCTACCTAAACACAGGACGTGAACCCCAACCTGAACCCCTTAAAGTGGAGGAAGACGAAAATTTAGGAGAGCGTTCAAACGCCTACTAGTAGAGCGAGCTCCCTATCCTCTATCAAAGATTTTGCAAGTTGCCGAACAAATTAGGGCATTCTGTTTGGTTGGTTTTAGTATTTTTTTAGAGCTTAGTTTTAATTGTATTATCATGTTTTATAAACCTTGTGACGCTATATACAGATTTTCTGTGCGAAATAAATAAATTTTGATTTGATTATTTTATCTTTATTGTGCTGTAATATTACAGACAGTCAAGATTTCCTTTTGTCTTTGCTAGTACTTATTATTTATTATAGTACTTATTATTGCCACTCATTCTACACTCATCTCCATTCATACTTGGCTTAAAATACCTACTTTGTATGGTCGCCATTTGATTGAAAAGTATAAAGTAAAGTAAAGTATTTAAAAGTGGGTTTTTTAAGCAGTTTAAATAGTAGTCTGAGGCTAAAATAAAACAAACATCTCAATCTTTTTTCAATTACCGGCATATTTTATTGAGGTAAGGAATGAAATTACTTGTTAATTTCTAAGATTTTTTTTCAGTTACCACCCCCACTTTCAATTTCAACTCCGCTTCCCTTAACTGATTTAACGTGGATTGCCACAACTCCGTCATCAGCAGAATTGTATGGATCGAACTTTGAAATTTTTATCTCTGCTTCTCCTCTTTCATTGACTTTTATTATGTTGCCAGAGCACCCAGTGGATGTGACTGATCCAGAAATTATGTCACAATATTCTCCTTTTGGCAGACATGTCTGAAAGCGATATCAATATTAATTAACATGACAGTATTACCCTATAATACTAGGATGTGGCTGAATTTACAGGCAGTGCAATGATACTGTATCGTTTGGTATACCGTTAAAACCTGCCTTGGTGAGTTAAATACTTTTGCCAGACATACTAGCATCAAATATACTTGGAAAGTGTATTTTACCCATACATAAAACCACAACACTAATTAATGTACACTATTTTAACACAAAATGTAAAAGGAATTTAAACTTGGTTTCAAGGTAAAATTCTGAGCGCTTTAATATTAATTTTGGGAAAGTGCAGTGTGCCTGTCCAAACCTGTTTCATATTCCATCTGTAGTTTCACTGAGAGCCACTGAAGAAACTCATATTAGAGGTACTGTATGTAAACTCTTATGAAAGAACAGGGTTTTGTAAGAGTGCTCTAAATTTTTACAAAACACTTTATTCTGTAAAAAAACTTTCTGGGCTACAAATAGAGCGAAAATCAACTGATTACCGTAGGCTTACTGACTGTGTATTGCGGTGAAAACACTACTGTAGCTTCGCACTATAAAATGTAATGTTTAATATACTGAAAGAATAATAATTAATGTATGTGCATTACTCCTGGAATTCTAGTGGTCTACATGACACAAGCGAAAGTGGTTTTACTCGTAGGATTTAGATCTAAAATGAAGGACTTTTATTTTTTTGAATTAATTGGATTTGATTTTTCATAGCTTTAACCTTAACCTTTAACTTTAACTATAGACCTTAACTTTCGTTAAACATTATCAATGCAAAATTGTGTGTGTACAAAGCATATGTATGTATATTTTACAAGATATATATGCTAAAATCATATATGGTTTGTGTGCAACAACATATGCTGTCAAAGAAATTATAAAATTGCAGTCTTGGGGTGTGTTCACAAAGAAAGCTGGTTACAAGTAACTTACTTTCAGCGTTTGTCCCAAGAGCTTGAGAATTAATGCTGTTGTATGTTCACAACAAACGCTTGCATTTTAAGCTCAGTGTAGTCTCAGCTCTGGTTGAGTCATTATCTTCCTCAACTGATGAAGATGAGTTCTTCATTAAAAATGTAGAATTAAAAATTCTTAGAGGGAAAGTAGGTGTTCATGCAATGAACCGCGGTAGGGATAGGTTCGGGAAATAACACCATCTATTTTCTCAATTGGAATTGGCAAAGTGAGGTTTTTTTTCTTATAAGAGAATGGAGTTAACCACGTTTAATTACATCCTCAAGAGAATTGAAAGTGTTTTAGTAAAGTTTTGGGTGAATTGGCATAAAGCAACCTATCCATGCACCGATGCACCAGAATGAATTTCTGACCAATAATAAAACCTAAAAAATACTCAAAGGGAATTTTTAACACCCTGATGTAGCTGATTAATTATAACTAGTGGTCGTCCTGTGGTCGAAACTCGACCAAAAATAATTAATTTACAGACTTCTCTATTTTCTCCCCACACTGTAAAAAAAAAACATGTGATTGGAATTTCTTCCATTTGTTTTGATTTTCTGTTTACATTTTGTTGTTATTTCGTCACCATCATGGCAACCCATATGGTCTTTGTTAATTTTTTGAAGTTTTCAAATTCATTTTTTGTTCTTATTTGTTAGCCTATTTTAATTTTTAAAAGCATTCTGCACATCTACAGGAAAATATCTTTCCAACAGTATGCGTAGATTTTCCCTGCGATGCACACGAGCTGAGAAAAAAGGTTTTAAAGAAACATGCTTGCCTATTAATATATAGATAGATGCTAATAATATTATGAGATATATTCAATTTTAATTTTCTTGGTAAATCAAGTAAAAGTATGCTTAAGTAAGTAAAAGTTTTATCTAAAATATCCATAAGAATTAATTAATATTGAATTAAATGTGTTGGTCTATCAAATTAATACATATATGTTATATTTGTCCTATTGGTTACGTTATTGAACATTCCAGGAAAAAACCACAATACGTAGGTAAAATATTTTTTTTGGAAATTGGAAGCGCTTGCTAGCCGGTACAAGCTTTGTCTGTGAACGCACAGGCTTGATACTAAAGACGGTGACACACTATCGATCTTTTCCCCGAACAAGACCCCGAACCGAGCAGGGAGAAGGGAGAAGGGAGGTCGAAGGGAGGATGTTCGATAGTGTGTCACGGGTCCGTACACCGATCAAGACGCCGAACAAGACATCAGGCCGAGCAGGGAGACGAGCGCTCTGGAGGCGGTTTTTTGGCGAAAGATCAAAGAAAAGATCGGTCCGATGTACGGTCCGATGTACGATAGTGTGTCACGGTACATTTTTGCCCCGTACATCGTCGCGAGCGCCTCACCGAGCGGCCGCCTGCGCTAGCATTGATAGTTCTGATTTAATATGGCAATTAAACTCTTTAATTGGTAAAATAAATAAATGTTGGGTAATATGTTGCCATTATATATTATAACCATTTAAGATGTAATGTTTGTGGTTTGTTTGGTCAAGGTTTAAAGTGTAGAAACCGTTAAATCAATTATATCAATAATATTAAGGTTGAATAAGTAATTGATGTTGACTTAAATTCTTTCAAAAATAATATAAACATTAATATTATTAAAGGCAATTAAAATGATCATTCTGTAACGTTATTTCAATTAATAAAACCAATAGAAATCAATAGATATAACTAAGCATCCTTTCTAGAATATTTTATTTTTGCGACAAGTTTTCAAAATGCGACTTTTAACAATAATTTTTATGTTATAGAAACTTGTTGTTATAGAAACCTCCGCGCTCTCACTCGCACACACTCTCTATCTCTCTCCAAACTTCCTTTTGCCGCGCTCGGTAGAATTCGTCTAGTCTTGGTCATGTTCGGGGAAATGTTCGGAGTAAAATTTTGCTGATATTTATCTCCCTTCTCCCTTCTCCCTGCTCGGTTCGGGGTCTTGATCGGGGAAAAGATCGATAGTGTGTCACCGCCTTAAAGACGGTGACACACTATCGATCTTTTCCCCGAACAAGACCCCGAACCGAGCAGGGAGAAGGGAGAAGGGAGGTCGAAGGGAGGATGTTCGATAGTGTGTCACGGGTCCGTACACCGATCAAGACGCCGAACAAGACATCAGGCCGAGCAGGGAGACGAGCGCTCTGGAGGCGGTTTTTTGGCGAAAGATCAAAGAAAAGATCGGTCCGATGTACGGTCCGATGTACGATAGTGTGTCACGGTACATTTTTGCCCCGTACATCGTCGCGAGCGCCTCACCGAGCGGCCGCCTGCGCTAGCATTGATAGTTCTGATTTAATATGGCAATTAAACTCTTTAATTGGTAAAATAAATAAATGTTGGGTAATATGTTGCCATTATATATTATAACCATTTAAGATGTAATGTTTGTGGTTTGTTTGGTCAAGGTTTAAAGTGTAGAAACCGTTAAATCAATTATATCAATAATATTAAGGTTGAATAAGTAATTGATGTTGACTTAAATTCTTTCAAAAATAATATAAACATTAATATTATTAAAGGCAATTAAAATGATCATTCTGTAACGTTATTTCAATTAATAAAACCAATAGAAATCAATAGATATAACTAAGCATCCTTTCTAGAATATTTTATTTTTGCGACAAGTTTTCAAAATGCGACTTTTAACAATAATTTTTATGTTATAGAAACTTGTTGTTATAGAAACCTCCGCGCTCTCACTCGCACACACTCTCTATCTCTCTCCAAACTTCCTTTTGCCGCGCTCGGTAGAATTCGTCTAGTCTTGGTCATGTTCGGGGAAATGTTCGGAGTAAAATTTTGCTGATATTTATCTCCCTTCTCCCTTCTCCCTGCTCGGTTCGGGGTCTTGATCGGGGAAAAGATCGATAGTGTGTCACCGCCTTAAAGACGGTGACACACTATCGATCTTTTCCCCGAACAAGACCCCGAACCGAGCAGGGAGAAGGGAGAAGGGAGGTCGAAGGGAGGATGTTCGATAGTGTGTCACGGGTCCGTACACCGATCAAGACGCCGAACAAGACATCAGGCCGAGCAGGGAGACGAGCGCTCTGGAGGCGGTTTTTTGGCGAAAGATCAAAGAAAAGATCGGTCCGATGTACGGTCCGATGTACGATAGTGTGTCACGGTACATTTTTGCCCCGTACATCGTCGCGAGCGCCTCACCGAGCGGCCGCCTGCGCTAGCATTGATAGTTCTGATTTAATATGGCAATTAAACTCTTTAATTGGTAAAATAAATAAATGTTGGGTAATATGTTGCCATTATATATTATAACCATTTAAGATGTAATGTTTGTGGTTTGTTTGGTCAAGGTTTAAAGTGTAGAAACCGTTAAATCAATTATATCAATAATATTAAGGTTGAATAAGTAATTGATGTTGACTTAAATTCTTTCAAAAATAATATAAACATTAATATTATTAAAGGCAATTAAAATGATCATTCTGTAACGTTATTTCAATTAATAAAACCAATAGAAATCAATAGATATAACTAAGCATCCTTTCTAGAATATTTTATTTTTGCGACAAGTTTTCAAAATGCGACTTTTAACAATAATTTTTATGTTATAGAAACTTGTTGTTATAGAAACCTCCGCGCTCTCACTCGCACACACTCTCTATCTCTCTCCAAACTTCCTTTTGCCGCGCTCGGTAGAATTCGTCTAGTCTTGGTCATGTTCGGGGAAATGTTCGGAGTAAAATTTTGCTGATATTTATCTCCCTTCTCCCTTCTCCCTGCTCGGTTCGGGGTCTTGATCGGGGAAAAGATCGATAGTGTGTCACCGCCTTAGATGACTTTTCTCACGCCGGTTTGAGCTTGCAAGCGCTTACCAACAAGCGCTTGTAACCAGCTTTCTTTGTGAACGCACCCTCAAATGAAGACACTTTACTTACTAAAAACCATAAAAAATAAATAGAACCCACAATATTTGTAAATATAGGGTGGGGTGAAGAACTGCTTATTTCAGTGGGAAATTCTGAAGGCTTCAGTTACTAGGGTTGGGGTTAGATAACCTGAAAGGACGTGATTTAAATTTATCCCACTCGGATCATTTGCCATCATGCTGTGGACGAATATTCAACTCACATCGCAATAGAGATGATGTATTTTTAAAATGGCCATTATAATGGTATCAATGTTGGTTCTTGATTGTGAGGCTATTTTCAATCTTTTGGGACCAATAGCTAAGTAAAACATGCGTTATTGTAGCCTACAAACCCCAGACGACGTATTGGTGTGGATAAAGCTAGGCGCCCACCGGGCAACTCAGCGGGTGACGCGGCGCGGCGCGGCGCGGCGCGACGCCGTGGAAAAAAGTTGCCACGTATCCGTGCCATGTTATCTTATGGACTGACGCCCACCTAGCAACCCAGCGGGTGGCGCAACGCGGCGCGGAAAAAACACTTCTTCTCGAATCCGGCAGTGAGAATTCGGTGGAGAATTTCTTCCTCTCGTGTTGCGGCGCCTCCGTTGAGTTGCCTGGTGGGCGCGGGGTAGAGGCACGGAAACGGCGTCTGCCCCTCGTCTGCCGCTCATTCGGGTGTTTTCGGAAAGTATCGTGAGCCCTTCGGGAGTGTTCGGTCCGAATCGAAGTGCACTGTGCATCCCCTCCAAAAGAATAATTCTCAGCGCTGCCCCGCGCTTCCGCTAGAGTTGCTTGGTGGGCGCGAACCCTGGAGAAGCGGACGGAAGTTTTTCTCCGCGTCGCGCCGTGCCGCGCCGCGCCGCGTCACCCGCTGAGTTGCCCGGTGGGCGCCTAGCTTTAGTGTGGTTTCAGCAGGACAGCGCCACGGAATACGTGGAGTGTTTTGCGGGAATACTTTCCAGGGTGGCCACATCACCTAGTGAGGCAATCTGCATTGGTCGGTTGCCTAAAGCTAGGCGCCCACCGGGCAACTCAGCGGGTGACGCGGCGCGGCGCGGCACGGCGCGACGCGGAGAAAAACTTCCGTCCGCTTCTCCAGGGTTCGCGCCCACCAAGCAACTCTAGCGGAAGCGCGGGGCAGCGCTGAGAATTATTCTTTTGGAGGGGATGCACAGTGCACTTCGATTCGGACCCGAACACTCCCGAAGGGCTCACGATACTTTCCGAAAACACCCGAATGAGCGGCAGACGAGGGGCAGACGCCGTTTCCGTGCCTCTACCCCGCGCCCACCAGGCAACTCAACGGAGGCGCCGCAACACGAGAGGAAGAAATTCTCCACCGAATTCTCACTGCCGGATTCGAGAAGAAGTTTTTTTTCCGCGCCGCGTTGCGCCACCCGCTGGGTTGCTAGGTGGGCGTCAGTCCATAAGATAACATGGCACGGATACGTGGCAACTTTTTTCCACGGCGTCGCGCCGCGCCGCGCCGCGCCGCGTCACCCGCTGAGTTGCCCGGTGGGCGCCTAGCTTAATTTTGCCTAATTTTACTCCTATGACTAATTTCTGTGGGGTCATTGGCCTTTGTGTTAAAAAAATATGATTATTTAGAGACTTTTCAATAGCATTAGTATACTAAATATTTGTACTCTAGTATACTATATTTCGTATACTAATTTATTGTGCTGACATAATCATGTTCAATGTTAGACTTCAACACCGCTAAACACCGTTCAACATTCTCCATACAATTTGGATTTAACATAATGTAATACAATTTTTTAAGTTTGGATCTAATTATTTTACCGGTTTTTACCTGGATGGTCTGCTTCATATCGTAGTCCTCAAAGTTGAAAGCCACAAATCCTTGATCTCCTCGACAAAAAGCGATTTGGTTTTTGCCATTGTCCCACCACTGGCGTTTAGTTCCTGCAGAAAGAAAAAAACGAATGAAACGGAGCGATTAAGATAAATGATCAATTCAGTATTTTTTCATGGAGATAGATCACTGATATAGGGAAAACTCTCTTTGCCTAAGAGTGAAAGAGACCCAACTATTTGCAGTTTTTTGATAAGTGATCTACTGCCATAACTGTCATTAACTGTTCATGTAAATATATCAGTGACAGATTTAAGAAAGAATCTTTATTCAAACGATTTTTAGTCACACTGCAGCAAAAACAGCCGTGTTACAATCATGCTTTGGAGGTATAAAAGTAGCTCTTTAACTCCCTAGGATGTAAACAGCCCTGTAGTGGGGTTGTATGGGGTAAAAATTGATTTTTCTAATTTTTGACACTCAAAACATAAATTTCCCTATTTCTTTTCAAACCAATATGAAGAGCTTAAAAAACAAAGCATTATTGTTGTATTGTTGTTTTTGTTCAATAGATAACAAAGTATATTGAAGTGGTTTTGTGCGGTTATTGGTGACGGTACGGAACAAATTTAACATTTTATGAATTTGAGTTCACCATATATTTAAATATTTATCCTTAGCTATGTACGTTCATAGTATGAACCTCATACGTTCATGCCAGACACCTTTCTCTTACCCATCATATTATATTCTTACAGAATATATTCTTATATTATCATTCTTGCAATGTGTGAATTTCATTGTTAACTTAACAAACTCTAGCCGTAATCGGTCATGTGCCTACACCCAAATGAAAAAGTAAATTGATCCTGGGTCTAGGTCCTACCATGAGAGCTACGATGATACAGTATAGCTTATTCCCTATTTGGGGCATTCTCTGATGTGTCTCCATGACTTATCTATAGTTAATTATAGGATTTTCACTGACCTCTGACGACGTTGTGGAATTCCACTCCATTGTATATTTGACGCCACCGATGCTGACACAACCAGCCGTTGTAACAGAGATTCTCGCGGCTAGGGCTCGGTGGCAGTGTGGGAGGGCCTTGGTCAAAATTGTCGAACTTGTAGCTGGAAAGTATCTTGGGAGTGTAATCATTTATAGCTAGCATGAACATCACTGCCATCTGAAAATGAACAAATTACGTCTTACGGTATTGGCTTTACAACGTTTAAAAAAAGTGAGCAATTCCCACTTTGCTCACTAATTTAGTTGCACAAACAGCCATTAGTCACTGCAAAAAGGAAATAAAGGACCATGCGGGTACAAAGGACATAGTTTGTGGCAGATAATTATAATTAATGAACATTAAGTGCACTAGGCTAGAGTGAATTTCAATGATAAAATTACAAACTAAACTTAACTTATTGTAGCCCAGGCACTTTAGGTAAAAAAATAGAACAAATTAATAACTAGCTGATTTTTGGTGTGGTGTTAGTATGTCATTAGGTAAGTATTTTCTGAAAATTCCCCTCACTTCCTCCGCTTGCTTCACCCAGTAAAGGGCTAGAAAGGGTCTAAGTGACGTAAAAATACAAAAATATTTATTGAGTGACACCAGTGTCACCGATTTTAGTGGTTTTAGTCTTGAATCATCCAGAATGAAAGTGGTCATGCTAAAGAATTGCCGCAACAATAATTCGTAGCACTTTAAGGCCTTTTATTTGATACCTATATTTTATTTTTTGTAAAAAAAATATATACAAAAATAAATAAAACTCTTGCATCATTTGTAAGATATGTTATATTGGAATTTCTTTACCTTATTTTTTTTTTAATCTTATATACAACTAATACTCACATATCAACAAATAAAAAAAATAGCTAAGATAAGTTGGTAATTTTTCCTGCACATTTCAGAAAAAAGTACGGATCAGTTTCTTGGGGTGAATTTCAACCCGTCCAAAATAAAGCATATTCTTTACCTACATTCAATATTTCTTGTAACTACAATCCCGCATCAACATCTTCATCATCCTACAGAGATGTGGGAGGTCCATTGGCGCAGCCTCCAAAACAGCGGCTACCCATTGCAGAACAAGTTGAGTTTAGATGCCTCATCTCTTCCCTAATAATCTGGGCAGCCTCTTCAACTATTTTCTTCTATTTTTGGTCTCCAAATCCGTCATTCTATCAGCGTTCCATGACGCCCGTAATAATTTGTGAGAAGTATCACTCAACGTTACAACTGTTACCGAAAATGTAATTTTCTCTCCAAAATGCTCGGACAGCTTCCTAACTAAGTATTATGAACTGTAAATTTCCTTTCCTGGTAAAAATTCTTCCATTTTTTCTAGGTAGCTCATCAGTGACGCTAAACTGGGATTCGTCGTTATTTTCAATGTAACCACATAATTTTAAAAATGCATCTCTTGTAGTGACGTTTTTCAGTCTACCTACACCTTTTTCTGATGGGTTTCAAAAAAATGTTGAATAACAGTCACGGCAATACTTTGCTTGGGCGGCTACTAAGTCTCCAACACCGGCTATTCGGGGTAAGACGGAGTTAAATATTGGTAGGGTAAAACCTTTCTATATTTTTGTGGGAGTTTTGTACTGGCACAGTTCAAGGCATATTTGCCACAAAACAAACAGTGAACTTTAATGTCAAACACCGAATCAATGCTTGAACGAGAGAGAGAGAGACGACTAGGGCCCTCCTCTAGGTCCAAACAGGACGAATCAGATGACTGACGCTGCGACGCAATTAGCTGCAGCAATGGACGATGGTCGTGTATACTAAGTTTGACACTTTTCATGGACCTTTAAGGATGTTTTACCTTCCTAAATATGTCGAACGTTGTCCCCACGCTCTTCACTGGCATGTAAAATAGCAGAAATACCTCGGCTGACGACATTTTGTCAGGTTCCCTGCTTCAGGAAGGCTCTCTCCACACTCCAGCTTTCCATGACACCAAGCGAAAAATGCGTAGCTTCAAAACTGTATTTTAATTCAAGTCCATTTATTATGAAGTTTGTGTGAAAAAATAGACTTAAGTGATGATTTACGCCATTTTCCACTTGTCAACAATCACAACACCTATATAAAACAAAATTGTTCTATTACTTATTCACATCACATATTGTAAATGAACAATTCTACCACGAGTCTTCTAAAACAACTTCAAACATAATTACGTTTTTAACGAATTTCCCCTATAGGGAATAAGCTATTACCGTAGTACTCATGGTAAGCAACTCGGTTTTCCCATTTTGACCCTAAAAACTTAAAATTTAGCATTTTTCTTTCTAAAACATTTTGTAGAGCTTAAAATAACAAATAATTTAGTATATTGAAGCGTTATTATGCGCCTAATGGTTACGGAGAAAATTCTAAAAAACTATAAATTTAAAATTCCCATGTTATTCATATGGAGAATAAGTAAACTGTGTTAGTTTGCTTGTTTATGAATATATTTGATAAAATTTAGAAAATGGATTCATTTCATACTAAACTATTAACATTTTACAAAAAAACACCTTTTTACCCTCCCTGATGCAGCAAACCTAAGTACCATTTAATTTAAATAAGGAATAATTGTGATATTTTTAAGGACACATTTTAGTGTAAATCCAAATCAGGCAAATGGAAATTTGCTTAGTCTGCAGGTTTGCTTCGGCCGGGGTATTATACGTATAAAGCTGTGTACGTACATTATAACAGGTGTGAAAGCATTGTTGGGCAAACATTTTTTTTTCAGAGCTGCCAACCTAAAATATCCAAACTTAAATTTCTCAACACCCTGTAGTTTTTATGATTTATTTTTTCGTATCCATGGATATGAGGGTTTTTAATATTATTATTTACTAGCATTCTTTATGTGAGTTTATTTATTAATTAGACCATTTTGAGTTAATAAATGAGAAATTAAATGGTAAAAAATGTGCGAAGGATTCATACGCTGCGGTTCGGTGCTCTTAACTTTATATCTATATTTCGGTCTAACTTTGCCAATCCAAAATCACGAATGATTTATATATTTGTTTCATTGATTTTAAAATTTTCTTGGATATATTTTTTGACAAAAATAACAAATAATAAGTTGGGGGTAGTAGCTGTCAAAAACTGAAATTCTCAGCAAAAACGCTTTAAATAACCTAAAATTTACTATAAAAATTTAAATATATAAAATAAAACGCCCTAAAGTGCTATGAAGTATTGTTGTGATGATTATTTAGCATGACTACTTTCATTCTGAATGATTTAAGACTAAAACCACTAAAATCGGTGACACTGGTGTCACTCAATAAATATTTATGTATTTTTACATCACTTAGACCCTTTCTAGCCCTTTACTGGGTGAAGCAAGCGGAGGAAGTGAGGGGAACTTTCAGAAAATACTTACCTAATGACATACTAACACCACACAAAAAATCAGCTAGTTATTAATTTGTTCTATTTTAGGGCATTATTTTGTCTAAAATTCCTGGGCTATTGGTGCAATTGTATTGATTTAAAACGTTGTATTCAGCAAATTTTATCAAGGCTTACAATGTTATTTAGAAAATAATTCTTATTCACCGACTGTCAGTCATGCTTGGTATGCCAAAGTCGTTCTTCGCCTTTCATGCAGAGTAATTACTTATCCTGTTTTTTTTTTTTTTTTTTTTTTTAATATAAGCTATAGGTTTTTAAATCCAGTGTTAATCCTGGGATTTCAACCATGCCGGGATACTGGGACTGAGACTCCCAATTGAGATGCTAAAACTGTAATACAGTGTGATTGAAAATTTCCGGAACCGTGTAATATATTTTTTACCATTATGGATGAAGTGATGAGACTTGGTATATCAATAATAGCCATAATTGTTTACTCTTTTAAGCTATTATTATGTATTTATTTATCCCCCAAGGAAGACGGCCCACGAGGAGTCAGAAGAAAACAGCATAGGTTGTTTTAAATTTAAAGGTCTTGGCTATTAGAAAACAATGCCGTAAATTTGAAATCAAACTGACATCCGAGTAAAAAAAAACAAACAGTTGTTCAAAGATAAATTGAATTTGCAATGCTACGCTACGTCCTCAAAGGGGGCGCCCTCTAGAATTCAGTAGAAAATTATAAACGTACACATAGATCGATATGCACATCAAATTAAAGGTGTACTAGTAGAATAGGCTACAATGCCGCAAATTTAAGCTTAAAAGAACAACCGTGTCAAAAATGGCAGCCGTTCAAAGATTGAAAATGGCAGATTCAAGAAATCTTTGAACAGCTGCCAATTTCGACTCGGTCATTCATTTGCAGCATTGTATTCTACTAGTAATGGCCTTTAATTTGATACTAAACTTGACCTATGCTGCTATTTAAGAATTTTGTCTGACTCCTCGTGGCCCGCCCACTTCAGGGATAAAAAAGTAAAAATAGCTTAAAAGAGTAGACATTTGTGGATTTTATTGATATACTATGTCTCATTACTTTATCTATAATGGCATAAAATATATTACGCCGTTACGGGACTTTTCAATCACACTGTATATTAATATTGTGTTAATAAATCATGTATAACTTATATGTGTGTTCCTTCATTAGGTACCAGACTACAACGCTGGTGATAGTCTGTTTGGGGGGGGGGGAGATGGATCAGAGGATGTCTGTGCGTTGTCATTGACTTTATCTATTAGGCCAAACGCGTAGGCTTATGATGATTATCTATATTCTGTTTATTGTTGTAAATGAAAGAAAAATTAAGCCATAGTCTTACTCGTATTTTAGTAAATTTGGCTCTTACAGTTTGATCATCGTCCTATATACAGGGTGTTTTTAAAAGAATGCCGGGATTTCAAACGGTCGTTGCTCGGGGACTATTCAAGATAATTAAACGATTTAAACGTCAAATTGATGGGAAAAGAATACAGTTTTTTCTCATTCTTTCATACAATTCGGAATGATTGATTAAAATTAAAATTTTAATCAATCTTATATGAGCGTAAAACTGGCAATGTCTGTACGCTGAAGGCGATCGGCGGGTTTATCTGATGTCTTAACTGAATCTTTTTCGGCACAAAGACTCTATATTTTATAGATAACATCATAAAGTGGCCAATTTAGGTTCGTTAAACTGAAGACTTTGTCGGGCAATCGATTTTTTCGGGCTTCTGATGCAGAATTGTCGGATTTCTTCGACTATGGCATCGATTTTTTTAGCCGGCCAGGTGAATGTCTTTTCAAAACATTTTGGTGCCACGAAACTCATTAAACCAGCTTCAAGTTTCTTTATAATCAAGTAGATTTAAATTTAGTTTAAATTTAGTTAAATTTAGTCGCACTGGCGACTGGCGTCAGGCGTATGAGTCACAAAAGCGGTCTAGCACCACGCACCTGTTTTACGCATACCAAGGACAAAGTTTCCTCCCTTGCTACACGGGAAACAAAACTTAGTTATTTTAGCTTCAGTTTGACGTATAAAACGTTTAGTTACCTTGAATAGTATCCAAGCAATTACCATTTAAAATCCCGGCATTCTTTTAAAAACACCCTGTATATACTACCTGATCATCGGTGGCAACGCTCTACCTTCCTTACATTAAAATTAAAATTTTATATTTTATTTTTCAAATTGACTAGGGGGTAATCAAAGAATGTGAAATAAAATGATTATAAGAGATGTACTGAATGTAAATTAAATATATGAATACAATTAATCCATATAATTCTACTTGTCTCCTGCATTTAAATATATATTTTTTTTATAAACTAGGGTACAATAAAACATTTTCAAAATAATATGAACGTGAGAGATGGATTAAATATTTATCAAAAACAGTAATGTCATTGAAATAGATGTTTTCTCCTATTTATGGAGAAAATAAATACATTTATAGGCCTAAATATGTTTACAAGCATCATAGATTATGTACGGTATTTTAATTCATTAATCTATTGGAAGGATGATAATAAAATATGGCATTGCTTTGACACAACAAACCATGTTTATTTATTAGTTCATAAAACATGTAATAATTAAATAGTAGCTGTTACCTTATAAGCTCTTGAGTGTCTATAAGTAAGAGTGTTAGTCAATTCGCCCTTGTCATTGTGTTCACGCTCCGTGTCATGATTCTCAATAAACACAACACTTTTTTCTTTGGGCACGAGACTCCAATCAGTATCTGGTTAAAAACAAGATTATGAACAACATTTTCAATAAAATTGATAGATTGATAGTTGTTTTTTTTTCACTTTATAGTCTAAATCAGATCTTGAATTAAAAAAAAAAAACTAAATATGAAAATAAATATGAAAGTAAAATGACTATTATGGATTTTTTTATTCTAAGTTTTAATATATAGGCCTAATGAAAACAAGTAAATTACACGGTAGAAACTGTTTGATAGTCACTTTTTTAAATGGGTTTTTAATAAGTTCCGAGAAGTCAATTGACTAATTTAATAAATCGTTACTTAATAAATCAAATAGACCGGTATTTACCAAACCATAGGTCGGAACCTACTAGTGAGTAGTTAGGGGAGGTATCTTGAGTCTAACATGGGCTCTTATGGGGAATAGATTTACAGCCACCTAACGTAAATAACTGTTTTTTTTTGTACCTGAGTAAATTTGTATTTAATAACAGTATACTGACACTGCGTATTAAATGTGAAGGTGTAACTGTATAAGCCATAATCTAATTTTTAATGTTTATATCTTTTAACTAATGTATACAATATCTATACAACATCTAGATACAGAGAGTAAGAGCGGCGACCCTGTAGGGGACCAATCAGAACGCTCCATTTCAATCAAGTGACACCTCTAGGTAAATTATTAATTGATAAATCAGCTGATCAGCACAGCTGTTCCCGCCATAACCTTACTTTACGTACTGTGTACGTAGGTTGTCTGCTTTCCCACCATAACCTTGTTTGTATATTCTGGTCGGGGTAATTGAGCGGAGCGAGCGAAGCTCTTATACATCGACTCGTATGAATTTCGTAATACGCAAAATCCTCCTAGACGGCTGAAGCAATCGTTTTCAAATTTTGCATGGCGATAAAGACCATATCGGTGAGTGCCAATATCTATATGGCGTCAAACAAATCTCTTAGGAATCCGCCCCACAGCCCCTCAAGGTTTCAATGTAATCCTTATGGAAGCAGTATTTGACACATAAACAAAGGCATAACAACAAAGGCTGGTGACTTTTGAATTAAGTAGATCAAGAAATAGCTGATAGCATTATTCCACGGATATTAGAACAGAAACGGTACAGATCATAAATAATATAGTCAAATGACGACACTAGCCTGAATCGTATACTAATAGCATAGATAAAACGAGGAGTATGTTTTATCTATGCTAATAGCCTTAACATCTCGTTTGGACGTTTATTGACAGTTCCATTTTGAATAATAAAAAAACATGTTTGCTTTGAGTCCATCCAACTAAATTAACAGTTGAAGTTGAAGTTGTGTTTGGAGGCTTGTTCTAGGCTTACTTGGGGAAGCCTTATGTAATATTTTTTAGTAACCCCTCTATTAGCGATGAATTGGTTTGTGAATTATCTTATAATTTAAATAGTTTAGGTTTTCTTTTCCGAATTCGTTTGGCTCTTCTACCCGACCGATTTTAATGATTGATGACTCAAATTGATGGTATGCACGCACAGATTTCCCATCAAGCATCGGCATATATATATCTACAGTTGAACGAGAATGCCATAGGTACCAAAACCATTATGAAAATAAACATAAGTCATATTTTATATTTTATGGTTTTTTACAAAAAAAAAAACAAAATCTCTACAACCCAACAGTTGTGTTTTAGAGTTTATAAATCTTAATGTTAAAAAACCTAGTTCCAAGCTTATTTTAATTTTATTGGTATTGATACGTAGGCTAATTGAAAACAGAAAATGTTATGTATATAAGTAAATATACATTACAACTATATACACATGAATGAGCAACGTTTACTACTTCAACAATTCAAAACCACGCTATACGTCTCTAATGAGGTGGCTAAATCGTGGCAAAAAACAAAAGATTTTAAAATTCAAATTAGTTTGTTTTTGTATTATTAGAAAAATAGTTTTAGACCAAAATAAAATAATCACACCTATATTGTAGTAATATTGAAAAATCATACAAATCGACGGCGATAATCGATAATTTAAATACATAATAACAAAAATATGTCAATACTTCTAATCCAAATATATTATGGTAGCCTACCATGCTACCATACCAAATATGCCTTCACTGGTACTACAAAGCAATTGAAACATTTGGTCAGAGTTTGAATAGTTGATAGTGAATGCAAGAGATTAGGTTTCAAACATTTTTATTTTTTGTGTATAAAATTAAAAGATGCTGCATACAAAAATATGTTAAAATAGTTATATTTTAAGAACGATTTTTGATATAGAACTTATTGCTCATTTTGCCTTAAATTGCTCTATTTGAAGCCTAAATTTAGAAGTTTTTCCCGGTATTCCATACCCCCCAAACCCCCCGGAGGACCCCCCCCCCAAACTGAAATCCTAGGGCCCCATTGGAAAATTTGCCCGGGGCCCCTGAAGTCCTAAGTCCAGCCCTGTACAGTCCCACTCGGCTTATACGTGAACGAAATTCGCTCCCCATGTATTTCTTATGGGAGTAAAATTTGGTTTCTATTTTCCGAGTTTGTTTGGCTCTTCTACCCAACCAATTTTCATGATTGAGGTCTCAAATTGAAGGTATGCACGCACAGATTTCCCATCAAGCATCGGCATATATTTTTATACCGTCCCACTGAGCTTATACGTAAACGAAATTTGCTCCCCCTTATGGGAGTAAAATTTTGTTTTTCTTTTCCGAGTTAGTTTGGCTCTTCTGCCCAACCGATTTTCATCATAGAGGTCTCAAATTGAAGGTATGCACGCAAAGATTTCACATCAAGTATCGGCATATATTTATCCTTATATATAATACGTGAAGGCGATTTATACGAAACACTACTCCTCCGTTAATAATGGACGGATATTTACAAACGACGTGTCAAAATAAAGTATTTTTTGTGTAGACGTCTCCTTTCACTAATTCCTGTAATAAAAATCCTTGGGCTTTGCCCCACAGGCCATCAAAGTTGGAGTTTCTCCCATAAGATTAACATGGGGGTTTATGCTCGACGGTAAAGTTCCGCTTAAGCCCTCTTTCAGCTGTTTTTAACATTGGATACATGAACTATCATTTGTTTCGCATTTGTTATGGACGACAACATATAGGATATGTATAAAATAAAAATATAGCCTAATGTTTTTTTTTCTATGTATATTACGCACCCTGTATATGTAAATTGAGGTTGTCAATTTCCACTATAAACACTGTACCTGTAACTGTCGTCCGTCACCTAGGAGGCCCGGGTTCGATACCCGGTCGAGGCATGTACGCTTTTTATCCACAAAAATTGTTTAATCTATACTTATTTAATACGCAAGCAGGTTTTTTGTGACAATTACTCCTCCCCATAAGAGCCTATGTTAGACCAGACCCAAGGTACCTCCCTTAACTACTCTATTGAACTCGTCATGTATACATTTTTAGTTTTAAGAGAAGTGTGCTAGTAAAATGAGACCTACAAACATTGTCTTTATATAATAGTATTGTTAAGAGCCAATTAAATTTAAACCCACACATTTGTGAGATAAGGCTTAATCAACTTTTGATCATTACAAATTAAAGATAAAAAACAAACTTCAGCTTCACAAGTCTCATTAATTTAGAAGTCTCTTAAACAAATGGTTGTGTTGGTCTTCTTATCAAATATTCTTGATTTTTATTTTTAGTACATGTTTTACGTGATAATAATAATAGACTAGTAAAAATAGTAATATTAGTAATTTATTATGTAATATGTGTAGAAAAAAAAATCTACGATGAAGGAATCGCTACTAAAAACAAAATCAATAGAAGATTTAAACAAAACAAACCAAATGTCTTCAGGTATGTGAGCAGGTTGTTTTCCCCTTTTTCATTTTTATGGAAACAACTCCTCAACTCTTTGCCCACTCTGAGGTCTGTGACTAATCCATATGGAGTATAGTCTTCGTAATGTACTCCCTCCTGTCCTATAAACATGAATAATAACACTTATAACATTTTATACACATTTTATTCAAAGTTTGTATTCTATTAACAGAGGTAAAAACACATAAATAACAATAACTTGGTAACTGACACCGATATAATTACATGGTGTCAGTTACTAAGTTATTATTATTTGGATCTCTCTCTCTCTCTCTCTCTCTCTCTCTCTCTCACCCTCTCTCTCTCTCTCTCTCTCTCCCTCTCCCTCTCTCTCTTTGTTCCGGCCTGGCGAGTTGGCGAACGCATGGCCCGGCTCCTAGGAGTCGCAATAGCCCAAACCTTTTCTCCCCTAAGGAGATTAGGCTGTATTTTACAAGCCAAGTTTAAGGGACGTTGGATGGATTTGTACTATCAACCATAGATTGTTGATAGCTAGGCTGACATCCCGGGTCTTGACCTAAAAATCCCAGGTTTTGACCTGACGTGTGAAACAAAAAAATAAAATATAAAAAAAATTAAAAATAAAAAATACAACAAAGCAAAAACAAAAACTCACAAAACGTTTGACACGAGTCCCGACCATCACTGCCAGAACGTGCCTGCCTACCCCTGGCTTTGAAGTGGAATCAAGGGAAATCAAGTGGCGGTCTGTTGAACAGAGGCGGTGTGTGAGGGGTCTTTAAAAAACACGAAGGCGGATTGGGTGTCCGGGGACGTCATGGCTTGCCCATGGCAAACGGCCCTAAATCTGAGCTGGTCACCATTTGTGAACCAGACCTCCCCTTGCATTCTGGTCGGGGTAATGGGGGACGCTAGTGGAGATACCTTCACATGCCAACTCCAGACCTAAGCTTGATGGCAGCCACTGCTGTGAAATTGACAACAGTGGGGGCCACCGTTAGTAAGCAGCCTCGCCACGCTGAAAGCGGTGCTTCAAAATTGTCAGAAATCAGCTCAAGAACCATGGGCATATGCGGGTGCCTGCGACTGTGATAGGTGGGCATCGGTGTCCGAGGAGGTTTGGCCTGATTGGTGAAATGTAGGGCCTCGGTCGATGGACGGCGCAGGAGTGATTGGCAATACTCCTATGAACCGGGGAACCCAAAAAAACCATCACTAATGAATTGTATGTAGTTTTTCAGGTTTCAGTTTGACCTACACCAAAGAGAAGCTTTTGAAAAGATTTTTATATTTTACATTAATTGCAAATCAAGATGACGGCTGATCAATTGAGAACATTGAAGGAGGATGAGGCTAGGAGAGAAGAAGCCAGAAAAGCTGAAGAGGACAGGATAGCGGCGGAAAAGGAGTTCCTGGAAAAACATGAGAAGGAGAGGAGGTTGAGTAGCTCCAGGGGGTCCGCGTCTGCGTTGGGAGGAGGCTATCGATCGGGGACCAGCAGTATGGCGGAGTCGGAGTCCGAGGCGGAGAAGCAAAAGAAGAGGAATAGAAGCCCTGAGGAAAAGGATAAAGAGAAAAGGAGGAAAGCCAGGAAGACTGAGGATTTGGAATCGGATGAGGAAGAAAAGGTCGAGGATGAAGACGACCCGTTAGTTTGCTTGAGTTTGGTACTGGATAAGATGAAGGGATGGTTCAAAAAGCCAACCGTCATAAAAATGGTGACTAAGCCTCAGACAGAGAAGTTTGGAAGGTACTTGAACCGGTTCCAGGAAGAGCTGATTAGGGCAAGAGAGGATAGAGTCCGGATTGAAACGAGGTTGGAAGAACGAAGAGAGTTTTTAAAGATCGTGAGCTCCACCGTGCGACATGAAATGGACAATCTGAAGGGCAAGGTTGTTCCAGGCGCGGCTGGAGTGAGCTACTCAGCAGTGCTGAAGAAAGATACCCCAATGGTTCCAAGGGTAACTGGAATGAAAGGACCCGTAGTCCAAGCACCGAAACAAATTATAGTGCGGCATGACACCTTGGAGACTGAAGAAGTGACTAAAACCTTGAAAAAGTTAGTAAGGCCTTCTGAAATCGGCTTGAAAGTTAAGAGGCTAATAAATATCAAGAATGGTGTGATTATTGAAGCAGAAAATGAGGATGGAGTGCAAAATCTCATGAAGCAAGAGACGTTGAAAGAGGCAGGGTTGAAAGTAGAGCGTCCGGAGAAGAAAAAACCTTTCATCATGATTTATGATGTTAGTGCTAAACTGACGGAAGATGAGATCAAGGAGGAGATTTTCTCCCGAAACATGGGGGAGAGCCAAATTGTTGAGGCGGATTTCAAGCAGGAGTTTGCGGTAAGACATAGGTATAAGGATTTAAGATCGACAGGGAAAAGGTGTCATGTTGTGGTGGAATGTTCTGTACGGGTGAGGAACTGGATAAGAAGGAAAGAGCGGATCTTCGTAGAATGGCAAAGTTGTCGGGTGAAAGACTATGTGGATGTTGCTAGGTGTTTTAAGTGTCAGAAGTTTGGACATGTGGCAAAGCACTGTAAGAGTGAAACCCCTGCTTGCTCCCACTGTGCTGGGGAGCACGACTATAAGGACTGCCCCAACAAGGGTAAGAAGGAAAAGGTTAGATGTATAAACTGCGTAAGAGATAAGAAGGAAAATAGCAAGCATGAAGCTGGGTCAAGGAAGTGTTCGGCCTATGAGAAGGCAGTCAGACGGCAAAATGAAAAAATATATTATGGATTGTAGAATTTTGCAATGGAATCTAGGGAGAGGTAAAGTTGCTACAGATGAAGCACTCAGAAGATGTATAGAAGAAAAATTAGATGTCCTTCTTGTCCAAGAGCCATACGCGGTAGGGAGAAAGGTGAAGATAGCTGGTTGCAGAGTATTTCATGACAGGAGCGGAAGAGAAGATATTTGGAGTGCAGTTATTGTGATGAATGATACCATTGGCGCCATAATGGTTGCTCAGGAAACAAGTGGAACGTGTGTTAGTGTTAGGTTAGAGCAGAATGGAAAGTCAATGCACGTGATCAGTCTTTATTGTAGGCCGTCGGAACCCATTGAAGGTCACTTGGCATGGTTAGCTGATATAATAAGGAAGAAAGGAAATAAAGAAGTTGTTTGCGGAGGGGATTTAAATGCAAAATCGGGACTGTGGCTCAGTGGTTCAACGGATGAGAGAGGGTCGAAGGTGGAAGATGTTGTAATTGCTTGGGATCTGCACGTGGTGAACAAATTTAGTAGATGGACGACTTTTGAGAACACGCAGGGAGGAAAATCGAACATTGACATGACGATTACGACGAGGGATCTTACAGGAAGAATAGAGGATTGGATGGTTCATGAAGAGACGCTAAGTGATCATAGGCTTATAACAATGAAATTGCGAAGGGATCAAATTAATCGGAGACATGAGAATGAACAGAGACAAGGGTCATACTGCTTAAGGAATGTAAATTGGGCAAGATTTGATGAAGCCTTACAAAGAGGTATACAAGCGATGGATGTTGAAATGGCTACAGCGGAAGTTCATGCGGAAAAGATTACGGAAATGACGTGCAAGCTGCTGGAGGAGCAGTTTCCAAAAGCGAAAGTAGGAACAAAGAAGGTGTACTGGTGGACAGAGGAGCTAAATGAATTACGAGTGAAGATGAGAAGGAAAAGTAAGATCTGGAATAGGACAGGAAGGGAAGATGATAGGAGAGCGTTTGTTAGGTCAAGAACAGATTACGTTTGGGGAATCAGGAAGCAAAAGAAGAAGATGTGGGAAAAGCTAATTGCGGAGGAAGAGGGCGACCCGTGGGGAAAGGTCTATAAGATTGCTGCAGAGAAGCTGAAAAAGGATACTGTGCTGGTTAGCCTGGAAAAAGAAGACGGCACAATGACGGAGACAGTGCAAGAGACCCTAGAGATAATGATACAAGGATTGCTGCCAGATGATAGGGAAGAGGAGGATACAGAGGAACAATCAAGAATCAGAAGTAAGATGACTGATGAAAGCACTGGAACAGATGAGGAAGATTTCACTGAAGGAGAGCTAAATGCATGCGTTGCACTGCTGAAGGATAGGAAAGCGCCGGGAATGGATGGAATAAAGAACGAAGTAGTAAAGAGAATGTTTGGAAGGATCAAGGGGACGCTGTTGAACCTGTACAACAAGATGCTGAGAGAAGGCAGGTATCCTGATGTGTGGAAAAAAGGAATCGTGAAAGTTTTTCTAAAGAGCGAGGAAAAGGACCCAAGTAAGGTAAAATCGTACAGGCCAGTAACCCTCTTACCTGTCTTAGGAAAGTTAGGCGAAAGATTAATAGTGAAAAGGATGAAAGAATGGATGGATAGGGAAAATAGGGCAAATCCACTGCAATATGGATTCACGGAAAGTGTTGGAACTGTAGACGCACGTCTGGATATGAGAAGAGAAGAAGAAGAGACAGATGAAAAGTACGTAGTAGGCTTGTTCCTGGATATTTCTGGAGCCTTCGACTCCACCTGGTGGCCAGAGATTCTGAGAGTTTTGAGGAGATGGAGATGTCCGAACAACATCTACCGATTGGTAAGGGACTACTTCCGAGGCAGAACCGTGACACTAAGAGCTGGCAACGGAGAGGTGAACAAGAACATCACTAAAGGATGCCCCCAAGGGTCTGTGGTGGGCCCTCTGTTGTGGAACATCCTGTTCGATGGGTTTTTGCGGCTACCTTTCGAGGAAGGTATCTCCGCGAGAGCCTATGCGGATGACGGACTGCTTTTGGTGAAGTTGAACACAAGCCCTGATCTCATGAGGAAGGCATCAAGAGCCTTGGAACTGGTCACTAGGTGGGGGGAAGACAGGAAGATGACGTTTTCGAGGGAAAAGACAGTGATGGTGCTCCTGAAAGGAAGGTTGGTTGAAAGATTCATCCGTGTCGACATGGGAGACGTGACAATTCGGTGTTCAAATGAGACAAAGTACTTAGGAGTTGCAGTAAGAAGTGGATTGAAATTTGCAGGACATCGGTGCGCTTGAACCAATGATGCTGTACGGCTGCGAGATGTGGGGCCAACGAATGAGGGGACGAGGTGAGAAGTCTAAGTTGATGAGTCTGCAGAGAAAACTGTTGTTGGGTGTGATCAAGGGCTACAGCACGATATCCCACGAAGCTGTCCGAGTGATTGCCGGGGTCATCCCGCTTGACTTGATGGTTGAAGAAAGGATTAAGAGAAGAAGGGACAAAGAAGAAGGTATCGACATCAAGGATAGCATGAGGATCCGAAGAGAAGAAACACTTGTTGACTGGCAGAGACGGTGGGAGTCTAGCACAAAAGGAAGGGAAACCTTTGCGTTCGTTCCGGATGTGAGGTTCAGAAAGAAAGTCCATTGGGAAACCGATCACTACACGACACAGTTCGTCAGCGGACACGGCAACTTCAAGGCAAAGCTGAACATTTCAACCTCGTCGATGACGATCATTGCACTCATTGCGGAGAGCTGGAGACATCGCAGCACGTACTGATGGAGTGCCCATTCTATGAAGAAGAAAGAAGCGACATGAGGGAATTCCTCCAACAAAAGACATGGGATTGGGTGAAGATCAACTTCTTGAGAACCAAAGAATCTGCGCTGGAGTTTGCCAGAATGTGCCGAAGGATAGGGAAGAAAAAGCATGAATTTGAAAATGCAGGAAGACAGGCTGGAATTTGAAAAGAAAAATGTTAGGAAAGAAAGATAAATTTAAGAAGATTGGAAAGAAAGAAGAAAAAAATCCGATGACCCTAGTACAGAGGGTACTAGGTGAGGGGAGAGGTGTTGGTTAGGCACAGAATGTGCCTGGAAGGACATGGATTGAAGCTGACAGCAGGAAGAGGAATCCGAAGATATTTCAGGAAAGCGGCCTGGTGAATAAGTCTCTGACTTAAACCAGGGGTGGTGGAGGGACCGCTGGGCTTCGGCCAAACACCTCTCTCTCTTTGTGAAAAGGATGGAAGAATGGATGGTTAGGGAAAATTGGGCAAATCCACTGCAATATGGATTCACGGAAAGTGTTGGAAAGGTAGACGCACTTCTGGATATGAGAAGAGAAGTTAAGGAGACAGAAGAAAAATACGTAGTAGGATTGTTCCTGGATATTTCTGGAGCCTTCGCCTCCGCCTGGTGGCCAGAGATTCTGAGAGTTTTGAGAAGATAGCGATGTCCTAACAACATCTACCGATTGGTAAGGGATTATTTCCGAGGCAGAATTGTGACACTTGGGCAGGAGATTTGAATATCAATGTTTTACCAAGCACAAATCCAGATGAAAAAAATAAGTTAATGTTAGAAAATATGCTAAAAATTCATGCCATGAAATATCTAGTTGATTTTCCAACCAGAGTGAGTTTTGAAACAGACTCAGCTATAGATAATATATTAGTTAATAAATCACACGTTAATATCATGTCAGTTACTGGTGTTGTCACACTTCTCTCTGATCATGATGGTCAGATGTTGGAATTTGCCTGTTCTGCTGAACTTCCTAAATAAACAAGTACACTTTTCAAGAATGCCGCAATTTTTCAGAAGCAAATTTGTTGTTATTTGTAATCAACTTATTAAACATGAATCTTGGCTAGATGTTTATTTTGCCCAAGTTCATGACAAGTATAATTTTTTTTTTTTACATTCTATAATATTACTTTGATCAAGCGTTTCCAAAAAAAGTAGTAAAAAAAGAATACAATTGCACATAGTTGGGTAACGCAGACATTAAAAGATGAGAAAAAAATGTTATAAAAAGCAAAAAAGGTATGAAAAAAACAAATCAATTATAAATAAGATAAGTTATAAATATCAATTGTTAAGATATAACCAAAATATTAAGCAAGCAAAGAAAACTGCTTTTGAAAATAATATTAAAAAATCATCCAATATTCCTAAAACTGTATGGAAAATAATAAACTCGGAAGTAGGAAATAAAAGAAAGGTAGGAATAGAAAATTTTGTAATTAAGTACGAAGACAATAATTAATCTGACCCAAAAATAGTTATTAATATATTTAATAATTATTTTGTTAGCATTGTACAGGATATAGACAGATTTAATGATGTTGCAACACATGAAACTGGTGGAGATGAGCTTACCAGTACCTCTGTAATTATAAAACCGCAATTTTATCTAAAACCTGTTGATGAGTTGGAGGTCAGTCGTGTCATCGACTCTCTCAAAAGTAAATTTTCAAGTGGGCTGGATGAAATTCCTACTTCTGTATTAAAAAACTCCAAAAAATACCTTTGCCCAGTTTTAACTCACCTCATCAATTCTTCTTTCATATCAGGATTATTTCCAAATAAATTAAAAATCTCAAAAGTCATCCCAATTTTTAAAAAGAAAGGTGATAAAGATAATATAATTAACTATCGACCAATCTCACTGTTATCAAATATATAAAAAGTTTATGAAAAAATTGTATGTAATCAGTTGACAGAATTTTTAGATAACAATAAACTTCTAGATGATATTCAACATGGCTTTCGAAGGAACCGGTCAGTGACAACAGCAGCAGCAGATTTTGTTAGTGCCATAATTGAGTCAGTGGATAAAGGGGAACACACATTAGGGATATTTATGGATTTATCAAAGGCCTTTGATAGTGTTAGATATTCAACCTTAATTAAAAAACTAAAATCATTGGGAATGTCTAATAAGTCTTTGGAATGGTTTACTTCATATCTAAACAATAGATTTCAATGTGTGGAAATAGGCTTAACTAAATCACATAATTTAAAACAAACTACAAACCATCTTTGTCTATGACTTCCTGGTATATCAAAGGTTTAGTTTTTTCTTCGAAACCATGTTCTGTGTTCAGATAGTTCAACCTTTCGTAGATTATTTTCAAATCATCAGGGTGCATGTGTTTAGCTGCATCTATCCTGGAAAATGTATCGAGGGTTACAATATGAACTGGTGGAATGTTAACAACAATTACATGTTTTATTCATACACTAGTGTGTTAACAACAATTACATGTTTTATTCATACATCTTCCAAAAGGTTCAGTTTACACTAACAGTTATGATTACAATTTTGACATAGGTTAGGAAACATAAATGTTGAGAAAACACATCAATATGACCCACAGTCAGTCAGTACCTATGTGTTATGTTCTTTCACATACTTTTTATCGTAATGCCAGAACATAGTGTAACAATTTTATGAATTTAAAAATTTTGTCATTTAGTAAAGCAGTAAACTTATTAGTTTTGTCAAAACGTGATGTAAGCCTGCAACCACTGTTGAGAGACAATTGAAAAACGTAAAATCTTGTGATGGTCTCGAAGCTAGAGAACTTTTAAATTTTGTTAAAGTCATGCTGAAACTTAAAAAAGAATCCGAGCTATCAGACTTCCAAATATTAGATGTAATACTAGGCTACACAATAGGACCGCTGTTCAGTAAAATTGTAGAATCTAAGCAGTTAGGCCACTCAATTGAAGAAGTACATAATCTATTGTTGAACTATTTTGTACCTCTAGGGTTAAGAGAAAACCTGAAACGAGAGCTAGTAAATAGACCTCAAAAGCATAACGAGTCTCTAAGTTGTTACATTATAGAAATCAGAGAAAATTCTAAACTGTTTAATTGTTTGTATTCTGAAATTGACATTGTCAAATTGATTATAATTGGTTTGAATCAATCGACTAGAAGCCGTCTTGCATTAACAGAAACTCCCACTAGTTTTAAGGAACTAGAGTTATTGTGTGTACATGAGCAGAATGTTGCCTATGAGGATACGCGAAGAGGCAGTTTAAGGTCTAGTCCAGGTAATCATGGTAAACCGGTTTGGACACATAATACTAATGCTAATAGAAAGTGTTACTATTGTGGTATTTATGGTCACATGGCGAGGTAGTCTAGGAAACGCATTAATAACCCATCACGCACTCAAGGTCAAAATACTCATTCAAATCAAATTCACTACGGTATTCCAAAAATGGTCCGCCAAAAAAACGCGTGATGAGGGATGGGCCCGTTAAGGCTCCTATCAGGGCTCAATCCCATGGAAACATTCTCACCGGGAACAGTAATAAAAAGATCGGTAGAAGTTTGAACTTACTTGAAAGACGCAAGTTTAAGAAACAATCTAAATTTAAAGCAAATCAATATGAGCTAAACAATAATGATTGGTTAAACTTAAAGATTGACACTAACTGTAGTAATGGGTTACCTACACTAAAGCACGTAATATGTTTTCTGTGACTAAAGGCTGAATTTTCTTATAACTGTATAGAAAATGCTTTGAGTGATACGGGTAGTAGTATTAACTTAATAAGTGACAGAATGCTTAGTAACTTACAATCAAAAGGGTTAGTTAAAAGCGAGTTTACAATTCTGAAGTCGAGTGCAGGTTAGCTAATAACACAAATGTAAATATTCTGAGTTATTGTGAAGTAAAGACAAGAATACACAGATATTCTTAGAATGTAAAATTCTTTGTAGGTCAAAATCTAACTTGGAATGTAATACTAGGGAGTGAGTTTATCAAGAAGTCTGGTATGATTATAGATCTAAACAATGATTGCTGTCATTTTTAGTTTGATAATGAGTGTAAAGTCGAGTTTGTTTGTAATTCAAACAAAGTTGTGTGTAATATCAATGAAAATGTACAAGTAGGGTTGTATGCTAAGGAGGATGTAGCTAAGCTAATTGCTAAATATCCTAATGTATTTACAAACAAGATTGGAGAAGGTTTAGACTTTGAATTCAAGCTTATGCTTAAAGATGATGTACCAGTATCCCTGAAAACTTATCCATTATCCCCTCCTCGTATGATTGCTATGAAAGAAATCCTAGATGACCTACTTTCCCAAAACATGATAAGACCTTCACTATCTCCCTATGCAAGTCCTACCTTCTTAGTAAAAAAGCCTAATTCTGAGAAATTTAGACTTGTAATTAACTGCAGTCAGTTAAATAACAAAATAGAAAGAGTCAACTATCCTATTGGAGATTGTAATCAGATATTTCAGTATTTACAGGGTTGTACCATTGATTAAACATACTCTGTTTAATCTATGGTTGTACGTATTTTACAGTACTTGATTTATGTAATAGCTTTCATCAGATCAAGTTGTGTGAAGAGAGTAAGCATATAACTGCATTCACAACACCTTTCTCAAGCTATGAATGGAACAGAATCCCTTATGGATTACATTTAGGGTCTGGTTTATTGAGTTCATATCTGAACAAAGTTTTTGATGGAATTCAGTACTCTTATGTTTTTAATTTTGTAGATGATGTCATTGTGTTTTCTAAAACATATGAGGAACATATCAAACACTTAGACGAAGTTTTGTCTAGGCTTAGTAAACACAATCTAACTGTCAACCCACAGAAAGTAAAGTTTGTATTTAAGGAGATTAAGTATTTAGGATTTTTAATCTCTAAGGATACTATGTCGATTGATCCAGATAGAACGCAAGCAATTAGAGATTGTCCTGCTCCTAAAGATGCTAAAGAAGTTTCTAGGTTTATTGGAATGGTATCTTACTTTTAATCTTTTATACCTAATTTTTCTGAGATTGCAAGTCCACTTAATGAATTAAGAAAGAAAAACAAACAGTTCATATGGTCTGACGAATGTGATGCTAGTTTTCATAAGCTTAAAGATAGTGTTGCAAATCCACCTGTATTAGGTATACCTGATTATTTAAGCCTTTCACTCTACATTGTGACGCAAGCGATAAAGCCTGTGGACAGGGCCTGATTACCCATTAGGCTAATTAGGCTGGAGCCTAGGGCACCAGTCAGCCAAGTGTTTTAGGGGGGCGCCAGACAGGTAAGACTTAAAGTTGGGACCGGGGGCGTAAAAAATGTTTTATAAAAAAAAAGGATTCGTGCAGATAGAAAATGAGGCGGGGAAGGGTGCGTTCGGCATATATATATATCCATATATAAAGCCCAAAGTACCCATGAACTTTTGAGAAAACTACAAGTCACACCCCCATAAACCATAGGCCTATATACTTAAAATGTTCATCATGACAAGAAACATTGCGCAAAACTATCCATTATTTCATAAATTGCCCTTTAAGGTCGTAATTCCTTTCTAAAGGGAACTTTCCATATACCTAATGTTAAAAATACCTCAGCTGAACTTATTTGTTTATTTCAGCTTAACTTAACCAATCAATAGTTTTATTTATGAAGTCAAACGGGATGAAGCCCGTGGGTTACAGCTAGTTTATAGTAATAATTGATTTGTAAAAACATTTAACGATACTTTTTGTTGCAGATAAATGCTGTAATTCCATCTAAAGGTCCTAATAAAATTGTTTTAGGCCTAGGTGATTAACAGAGTTAATTTAGAAAGTAGGTGCCTACGTATATTATTGTTTGGTTTTTTGATATTTTAGGTTGGGTCTACTTTTGATTTAATACAATCATATGTTTAATAAAATGTAAAATAAATACATTATCTATAATATTAAAACGAAACAGTGTTTTTTTATTTCACGATTCTGAATCAACCACTCAACGGATTTTCATGATTTTTGTGTTGAAAGAAAGATAATTTTGAGAACTAGGGAATGTCGAAGCCATAATTTTAGTTTAGGGTCCCAGTTATTCAGAAATTAAGTTTTAATTTTTGAAAAGTCTAGCAGCCGACGCTAAGATTCTAAACTAGCTTTTGGTATAATATAATTTGTTTAACATAACAGCTGTAAACATTCAGCGTTTGTAACACAAATTCAGCATTTGGATAAAATTAAAATACATACTAAGGGTTGACTTATTTATACTATGTGTAATGCTAATCATTTATACGTTCAATCCTTCGATAAGAGGATGACAGATTATTTAAATATACATAATAAAATACTAGGATGTTCAAAGGATTTTTTTAAATAAATCTTTGTAATCTTCGGTTTGTTTTAGTTCAATATAATTTTCTTTTAACTAACAGCTGGTTAAATACAAATGCTCAATAGAACTATGAGGTTATTTTATTTACTCTGATTTTGTCATTGATTATAGGAAATAAGTAAGATTAGTAGACCACCGAGATAAGTAACACCATCGATGTAAACAAGTCGAGGCTCTGTACAAGAGTCTTAAAAAAAGGATATGCACATTATTTTACTGCTCAACTTTTTTTGGAAAGGGTAGGAAAATCAATTTTTTACAAGTTTTAATTCATCTTGGTAGCTTTTTGTTTACAATTAATGTTTTTGAATGCTTAAACTTTGTTTGAATTAGGCCCGGAAATATTGATGTCATAAAGATGGAGATCAAGAATCCTCAGGAATACGATTTTAAATTACCACCACAACCTCAGACGGGTGTATCCAAAGATATACAGATGAATGACATAGATTGAGCACAACGTCATCATTGACCTAGGATACTGCAATTAGACAACCCATCCTTTTATGAGATCTAAAAAGTTGTTTGGCGTGTGTTTAGTTGTTTTTATGTTTGGAGGCTCTGAATATTTTATAGTTTAAATAAATGAATATGGGGAATTACGGTGTACATTGATTCAATTAGGGTGGTTTAATTATTAAGGATATTAGAACTGATAACGGAATGGATAATAAACATAGCCAATTAATTACGTCACTAGCTTTACAAGCGTGTTTACGGTTTAAATTCCTTCAACATGTGACCAGTTCTTTTGTTCAAATGAATATTATTTTATTTTTGACTCAGCTGTTTACCAAAACAAACTATATGTTGTTGTTTTTACTTTTCTTTTTTTACACTTATTTATTTAGCAATTGATGCAGTGAAATTGATATAAAGAATATGTGTGGACGATTCGTTTAATGATGCCAGGACACCAACGTTATAATTATGTGTCCTACTGTGAATTTGATTGGATGTTTTAGTTTTATTTTTGGGAGTTTCTATTCAGGCCTACTGGAAATTG